AAGATAAGATCGTGGAGGAGGTTGAAGAGAGAGACTGAGGAGATGTCTTAAAGGTTCCCCAGAAAAAGCTATCAAGTAAAGATAGAACCTCCAGAAGAACCAGAGCCCACAGTAAATAGCCAGAAGTCAATGGCCAATTGAGGGACAATGATTCATCAGTGACAACTGGGCTGCCAGGGCTGCCACTGGTGCCTTCAGTATGGGCATATAAACCCTCCCTCTTGTGGACAGGAAGGGAGTGGACATCAGGACTCAACCTGTTGAGAAGGGAGGGAAAAGTGACAGGAATGACCCTTACAGGATGACAAATTGAAGAAATTGTACCATTTGCACTCAGTATCTGGAGACATATACATGAAATAGCACATTTTGTACAGTTGAAAACAGTCAGTTGTATGGTCAACTGCCCAGTTTACCTTAACAAGTCACAGAGAACCTGCCTGAGATTTCCTTTTGTTCTTGAAAATCATACGTTTTCTTCTGTTCCACCTTACCTGGAAGACAGCGACCATACTTTTTACCCTTTCTTTAGAACCCTGTTATGGCCTCTGAGTTTGGTGCATTTCAGCTGAGCTTCAAAATTAAGTAGGGGTTGCTAGTTTTCCAAGATTGCTCCTTGCAATCTTTTTTCCATCAAAATTGTCGTCCATACTGTACTGGCATTTAGTTCACAGGGTCAATCCCCCATTTCTTGATTTGAACGACATGTTATTTTGTTGTCCTGAAGGATCCATTTGCCTTCCATATCGAGAGAGGAAGCTTTACTCCCTGGTACACTGTACTTTGAGTGCCAAATGGAGTTGCATGTGCAGGTTGGCTGCTGTGAGTGTCTTGTCAGGGGCTGTGGCGTTCACCCCGTGGCCCCTGCTTGTCCCACCAAACACAGGGCTCACATGAGTATCCCAACATGCCCTTTAACACGCTGCCACCAGTTGATCTCTTTATCAACCTATATTTCCTATGAAAGACTGGGGTCCATTCAGTACTGAACTTTTAAACACAAACAGGTTTATTGATTACAAGTTGTTTTAGGAATAGTTCTTAAGCACATTCTTAAAGTTACACACAGCTTCAGTACTACCTCTTCTATCTTAATTAATACAGGCCACATTCTGACTAATCACTCCTTAAACACTCTCTCTGCCTCAAACTCCAAACTCTTTCTTCTGTGGTTGTTCTAGGTTTTTCAGGCTCTTTGGCCGTGTTCTGAAGGTTGTTCTTCCTGACGTTTTGCCAGTCTCCATGGCCGGCATCTTCAGAGGACAGCAACCTGTACTCTGGTGTAGTTGGCTTGGGAGTGCAGTATTTATGGCTGTGAGATAGGCTTTTGTCTTTTCCTGTAGATGGGTGATTAGTGTGTATTGTTGTGGGTGTATTGTTGTGCTAAAGGGAAGAGATTATCTGTTCCTGTGGTTGATGGGTGTCATTAGCTGGTCTTTTGTGTGTAGTGATCCCTTGTCCTTCTGGGTGGGTAGAGTTCGTTGACCTTTTGCACGTAGTATGTTTGATAGCTGGGAGCCAAGTTTTGCTGAGCTTCATACTTCCCTCTTTTTTGTTGAAACTGTGCTTGTGCTTGTGGATTTCAATGGCTTCCCTGTGCAGTCTGACGTAATGATTGCTGGTGTTGTCCAGTATTTCATTATTTTGAAATAGAATTTCATGTCCAGTTTGTTTCAGGGCATGTTCAACTACTGCAGATTTTTCTGGTTGTTTTAATCTGCAGTGTCTCTCATGTTCTTTGATTCTGGTGTGGATGCTTCGTTTTGTGGTTCCAATATATTCGGTATACTCCTGCGGTGGTGAGGGGGTCCCTTCTGTCCTTTGCCGACTGTAACATTTGTTGTATTTTTGTGGTGGGCTTGAATACTGTTTGTAGGTTGTGTTTTTTCAAAAGTTTCCCCATGCAGTCCGTGACCCCTTTGATGTATGGCAGAAATACTTTATTTGTGGGTGGCTGTTTTTCTTCTTCAGTTCGGTGTTGTTTTCTAGGTTTGATGGCTCTTGTGATTTCATTTTTGGAGTAGCCATTTGCCTGTAGGGCCCAGTTCAGATTACTGAGTTCAGTACTGAGAAACTGAGCTTCACAGTTCCGATTTGCCCGGTCTACCAGATTATGCCTCTTTTTTGCTGTGGGTGGTGGTTGGAGTTTTTGTGTAGGTACCGGTCTGTGTGGGTGGGTTTTCTGTAGACCTTGTGTCCCAGTTGGAGGTCAGTTTTGCGTAGGACCATGACATCTAAGAACGGGAGCTGGAGGAATGGTGCAAAACTTTATTATAGAGACAACAGCACAGAAAGCATAAGCAGTAAAGAAATAAAGTAGGTGGACACCTTATGCCCCTTTTTGTCAGGAGGCCCCGAAGAAAGGCTGCAGACGTCTCGTGGAATCAGTAGCTGTGCCTGGGAGCTAGGTTTAAAGTGACGCTTATTGATCCAAGAAACCTCAACACTTTTATGTAGTTTTTGTCACTTTAGCAGTAGCTGTACCTGTTGATTAATTGTATCTAGCAGATACTGACTTTCTTGATGTTTAATAAACAATAATAATTGTATACCATCAAGTTGATTCTAACTTATGGCAACTCTTTCCAGGGTTTTCTAGGTAAAGAATACTCAGAAGTGGTTGATCATTCCTCACCTGTGCCCTGGGACTGTGTAAATTGCCAATGGCTACACACAAGCTGCCTGTCCTCCCAGGAGGCATAGTAGATTGAGCTCCCAATCTCTGTTTCTGCTGCCAGATACCTAAACCACTGAGCTATTCAGCCAGCTGTTCTTAATGTTTACATTTCATTAACTGGAGAAATGGTAACAGTGTCAGACCTCACTCTGTACATTTCCCTGACAAGCCTGCGTAATGCAGACCTACAGGATCAATTACAGAAGTCCATATTTGTTTATAGCTGACAAAAGTATTCCAGATTCATCATAACTGACTTTAACCCAGTAAAGGATTAATTCTGGAATGAAATCAGACAATTATTGACAAGCATCTCAAAATTAATCTGGGTATCTTAAGTAGAAATATTTTGTTGCAATAACTTCAGGCAAGTCCAACTTGTTAAATTTTATTTTTTCTATGTAGCTTCTAGGTTCCATATTTCAAAAATAGTAATTCCAAAACATATATTAAAGTCAGAAAACTGTAGGCACAAATATTAAAATCCAAAAGTCTTACAGTTATGCATAACTGTAGGCACAGATGCTTAAAATGTAGGAAAACTCAACTTAAGCAAATATTTAAGTCAGAAAATACAGGATCAAGGATACAATAAAATACCAAAAAGAATGTTTTAAGTTACATTCTTATCACTCTAGGAGGTGGTAGCCTTTAAAGGCAGAGACTACATGTCTAGAATATATTACAATTCTTAAGAAAAAAATTGTAAAAAGCAAAAAGCACTACTTAGCTCTAAATATATTAAGACAAACAGGAAAAAAATTCTAAATAGAGCTTCACCCATTTTTTTTTTTCAGTCTAGATTACTCTCTGGAGCCATTTCTTTATCTATTTGGAAAAGATATCTCTCACAACTGTTGCTTCTCACTCACTGATTAAAGCAGGGGTCTCCAAACTACAGCCCGCGGGCCACATCAAGCCCACCTTGCCTTTTTATCTGGCCCGGAGAACACCACAGGCTCAGTTCTGTTCCCTTCAGCCCATGCGTTTGTATGCGCATGTGTACGTTCCGTCAGCCCTCAAAATGTTTAAAATATATGATGCTGAAAAGTTTGGAGACCCCTGGATTAAAGTGTGAAGAAAATGCTTATTTATATTCTGAGCTTTGTTTATTTATTCTCCTATGAAGGAGTAGCTCCCCCCTGCTTGTTGGTGGTAGTTTAATTTGTTGCTTCCCAGCATCTAAAGGAGCTTAAAAGGGTCTATGAAAACATACCTAATCATCCCTTTTCAAAACAATTATTTGCAAATGTTATGTGTTTATTATTTTCATATCTCTTGTTTTGACACTGGAAAGCAAAACAAAATAATTAGTTGCCAAATAATTATTATGATTGCTGTGACCTTGGTTTTGCTGTTTTCATGCCACAAGTTTAGAAGTTTAGGGCAGTTTTATGGCTCTGATTTCACTAATGAATTGACTTAGGTGGGCAGCAAAGTAGTATTAGTGCCAAGTCTTGAACCATAAGCCCACGCAGCTTGATCGGTCTGCACATGGCAATGTTACTCATTTCTGACAGTTTACTTTGCCAAGCAAATCTGCTGAGAAATGTTTGCTCAGCACCTTATTTCTTTATTCATTCATCCATCCATCCATAAGCATTTTAATACTTTTCATTTAAAAATTTCCAGGTACAGTGGTGCCCCGTATAGCGAGGTTAATCCGTTCCGGATTAACCCTCGCTATACGGAATCATCGCTAAACGGGTAGGGGAAATGTATTGGAACGCATTAAACTTCGTTTAATGCGTTCCAATACCTTTGTTACTTACCTGTTCAGCGAGGATTCCAGGTGCCGGCAGCCATTTTTGTGCCTTCGCTAAGCGAGGGCAGGGCGCGAAAACGGCTGCTGGCAGCCATTTCCGGGCTTCCGGCGGCCATTTTGGAACCGCCGATCAGCTGTTCGGCGGCTCCAAAATGGCCGCTGCAATACCCGATCTTTGCAATGCGGGTTTTCCCCATTGCGATGATCGGGTATGTTTCCGTATAGCAATCCCGAAAAAGGGATCGCTATACGGAAACATCGCTATACGGTGCACTCGTTAAGCGAGGCACCACTGTACTGTAGTTAACAATAGTATGTTAAAACATGTGGCTAAAATGCTGAAAAAGAGTAAATCCAATCCAGGAGAAAAACAGGAGTACAGTAGTAGTAATATAAGCAATCCTAGCTAGCACTGGGACGGCTTTTATTCTGAACAGGAAGCTTGGACAGAGCTAAACCACAAAGCCTTCCAGTTTAGGCTTTTCTCCTAAATATGAGCCATATTTAGGTGTCTGTAGATATCAGGTGGAACTCTCAGAATAGAAGAATATGGGATTTGTTATTCAAAAATTCTAAGTGGCACCTACCTAATTGTCTGTACCTGAGATACATACAGGGCAGTTCAATTTCACAAGAGTGTGAAGAAGTAAGTGGAACTCAGAAGCTGCCCTGGTTGCTATTTCTGGACACTTCTATGTCTCTCAATGGTGCTATACACATTATAGACAGCTGCAATAAATTTAATTACATTCAATGGGACTGGCTCAGGGAGACGTGTATGTAGGATTTTTAGCTTCTGTGGGTCAAGTTCCACCTCCCTTCCTACCCAGTTTAATAGTCTCAGATTGTTTGGCATTACTCAGCCCAATGCCTGTGAACCATTGCAGGGAGCTAACATAAATGCAGTTGTTACCAGAAAGATTTAATAATGCAAGATTCCTAACCAAGCAGCAGCTGGCATTTTGTTTAATGCTGCTGCTTTGTTCTCATATTTTTCACTTTCTGAGGGCCTGACCACATCCTCTGCTTGATATTTTATGAGCTTTGTAAGCCTGGGGTCAAAGCCAAACATTCCAAGAGATGCTGGAGTTTGAACACAAAGAGTTTGGCCCTGCTGCTCTGCTTTAAGAGGAGCGTGTGTGGCGGGCAGTGAGAGAATGCCTGGAGACGAGAGAAGCTCTTCTGCTGAGAGAGGAAGAGGCTTGAGACCATCATGACACAAACTCTGGCTGCACAAGAATGGCATAGGCAGTACTGAAAAGAGGAACTCATTGTATGGAACTGGATCAGGGACACTCCTGAGATAAGCTGCATTAAGGATATTCTTAAGATCAGATAAACCAAACTCAACCCTTCTTTAAGCAGTGCCGTACATTCCTCACAATGAAGCATTTGTGACATCATTGGCTGTTGCCATGGAAGTTAACATGATACCACAGATCCAGCACACACTGAGTCCTCTGCAGGATCAAACAGAAATAAGACTGTAAAGGTACTGGCTCTTATTCAAACACAAATAATGGATTTAATTAGACAGACAAGCAAGATAAACAATGAAACCATCTGAAGAGTAAATGCATGTATTTTATATCCATGGCATTTCAAACTTCTTTGTACCAAAGTCTCACAGCTCCTTGTGACGATATAGTAGCACACCTGGGAGGAATAGGGTCATTAAGCAAGGCTGTGAGAGAAGCATCTCAATCCATTTCTGCTTTTGTGTGTGTGTGTGTGTGTATGTTTCAGAACACTGGAGGACTTTCATGTAAACTTAGGTCTCTTGTTAATGATATTAACACAAGACTAAGGGCCTAATCACATGGACCATTTGAATTGTTTCTTTTTCTTCCTTTTTAATATTGATATATTTATGCATGTATAGTCATTTGGCATATATAATGCTGGGCCCATTCACATGCCAGTCAGTTCCATCAGTACATTTCTTGCTATTTGTACTGGTTCTGTAGGCTACATGTGCCATCTCATATAAACTGATTCATCTTCCTTCCCATTTCTGGGTTCCCACTGCTCTAAAATTTTCTTTTACAAATTCATAAGTGATGTAGCATATGTACATGCGTGTGCAATTATGGAAAATTGGAAAAATTGGAATTTGATTCATAAAACACAAAAGTGGGGGTTGACAGTTACAACAGGAAAGACATCAGTAAACTGTTGTGGAGAAAAATTTATTAAAAAGCAAGCAATTTTTCATTAAGCACTTTATTTATTTTTTTTAAAAAAAACAAGAGCGTACAAGCATGGTGGCCATACAGTGGCTATGGCAGCCCAAAACCTGATTTGTTTGCAAAGTAAATAAATAAACAGTAACATTCATACACACTGAAATGATAACGATTGAAGCAGTAGAGAGATCGGATCATTTAAAAATACACATGCTGGCAGTGTGACCCCACCCCACCCCCAATTGGCTGGCCAAATGAATTGATGTTACCCTTGTGTCATGTTAATGAAAATTTATAAAATGATTTAAATAATGGCAGAATTGATAGAACTGTTGTTCTTTTTGGCACCTGTGCTTGGACCTTAAATCACAGGTTTGGGAAAGAGTTGGCCTGGGAAAGTAAAGTAGTAGTGCAAACACTGGCATCTCTAGATGCCTGACCCAATTCTTGTTCAGGTACACTGCTAGACAGCAAGCAAAAAAGCTGTATTTGTCACAGGGGATTTGCAGGAATCTCAAACCAGACCTGCAAAATAGCAACAGATAGGGAGAGAGAATCAAATTTTCTAGAAATTAGGAAATGAGACAACTCCACAGCACAAGTGCAGGAAGATGTATGGACCATGCTAAAAAAAAGGGATACCACGTGATTGCACACACAGTCACTCAACAGATCAACAAATTGGCATGGTCTGACTGCTTATGGAATAGATCTTAAGAATGACATCTGTGCAACTGATGCTACACTTCTAGGTTCCAAAGATCTATCTGGCAACATACAGTATACAGCATATACCATCAAGAGAGAACAGTATAGGTAAAGGGACCTTGAAGGTCAAACAGCCTGTTAAATGATTCTGAAGCATCTTCCTTTTTAGCCAGTTAAGGCTTCTTTCAGATGCAGCTTTTAGTTCACCTCAAGAACCAAGTTGCATGCTTATTTTCATGGAAACTTCCTTAACACCCTAACACTTCTCATTTTATGTTGTTTTATATCATTTTAATGAGTTCCTGAGCCTTTTTGTCCTTCCCCAAAGCAAAGGTTAATCTTTTTCTCCCAGTTTGTAGTGGAAGCCAGTTTAGTACTGTACTATGCTTGTTCCCAACATTTTGCCTCCTGAGGTTGCCAAAGACTTTTGTTTGAAGTTGCTGTGCAGATCTTAAAAGTTACGGAAAGGAAGGAATTCTGTAGCCGCCATTTGTAGCTGTAATGCTGGATGGGGGGAAATTACATTATGGTAGTGATCCAAAAGCAGAGAAAGGGTGAGGGGGAAGAGAATGAGGATCAGCTTTGCAGCGGTGTAGTAAAACAGGGGAAAGAAGCAGCAGAACATTATTCATGGGGGGGAGTGCAATATATATAACTATTGTATACTTCATATTTAGAGGAGCATAGTGACAATCAGTTGCTTTGTCACAGGCAAGCCAAGTCTGTGATGTTTATATTTGAAACAATTGCAAAGTGGAGTTGCCTCCTCAGCAAGTCTCTAAGACACTTTGTGAAGCAGGTTTGCAGAGGGAAGAATTCTCATAGAAAACATGGAACGTCATGGCTGTGCAGGTAGAATACTCTGTGCAATCTCTGACTTGCAGTCACCTTGAAGAACAATGAGGCTTCTGTTTGTGCAATGGGAGTACAGAATACTTCCTATGCAAATAGGAAACAATGGACAACCATACAAGTAACGGCCATTCCATGTGTGGCAAAAATGAACAGGATTTTTTTGGTCAAAGAATGTATCTTCTGAGCCTCCAACAATTTTTTTAAAAAATTTTTTTAACAGCAAACACTCCACTTAAGAATGGAATAATACGTTTTTCAATTTCTTTTAAATCCTCTTCATCTTTTACTAAATAACTTATACTCTAAAAAGTTGTTTGGTGGCTCTAGAAATTTATGGCAATAAATATGGTATTATCAATTAAATATAAACTTACATCCTTAAATCAAATTAATACTAGTTCTTTTGAGGGTGCTTTCATAATTTAATGAGACTTCAGTAAGGCTTTTCTAAGCAGTAACAACTGAGTGGTCAGCTCTTTAAATATTAAAATATAAATTTAACAATAATATTCATGTGCTGTCAAGTCAATTCTGACTTATGGAAACCCTTTTCAACATTTTCCAGGTAGAGATATGGTTTACCATTCTCTTCTTCTTGCTACTGTACAGCTTGCCAAAAACCAGACGAGCTGGGTCTTCTTGCAGGTGACATTTGTTTTTATTCTGTTAAATGTTTTCATTTCTTATTGTTCATTTGCAGTTCATTAGTATATGTTTGGCTCCACAGCCAGATTCCTGAATCACTGAGTTATCCAGCCAGCTCACATATAATTCTAGATGCCCGATATTAAAATGGAAACAGAGAAAATGCAACCAATGCCTCAGCAAGATTTAGACCAATTAGTTACCGTACCTTTGTGATTTAGGAAACCATTATGGCCAGTGTTTTCTGATGAGCATGCCCAAAGGATTTGTGTTGTTGTTGTTGTTGTTTTTCCCCATAGACCCTGCAGAGCCAAATACCTCCTCTGCCCTATTGCTACCAAACAAGCAAGTCATTAGTGAAAATATCTGACTCTTTCCAGAGTGACCCACAGAGAAGGAGCTGTGATGCAGATGTAATGTCACCACTGAAGAAGTACTTTGTGGATGTAATCTGTCATTCATGTAAGAATAATCTTATTTGGGGGGATAGAGCATGACTTCAGTGACTGCAAGTTGGATGAATATCCTACAGAAGTCATATGACCGAGAAGCAACAGCTCATATAGTTGCTCTGTTAGATCCACAGTAGATTAGCAGCAGTGCTTGGAGCTGGGTCGTCTTACACCACACTATTCTTCCTTTATAAATTAACAAAGGACTTTGCAATCCCTCCTCCTCATTCAGGAAGATACTGAAATAAGGGTCACTGCTGGAATGCAGTGTCATTTACTGCCTGGTAAAATAGACTTGGGGCACATTTGCCAGAATGATGGGCAGTGAAGCTGGCAGGGAAGGTAGTTCCAGACAAAGCTGTATCCTGATCAGAGGACAGCAGTGAAATTGACTGGAAAGGGACAAGAGTTTTTGTGAAATGGAACAAACTGCTTAAATGGAACAGACAAAAGGGTATCTGCACTATATCTTTGCCCTGGAGCATTTTCACAACACTGATGAGAGGGAAAAAATTTCTGAGAATTAGAAGCAGGGTGAAATAGAAACATAATTTAAAAACCAACCTATAGTTCAGCTCTTAATGCCTGCTATAATTTTTTCTGTTATATTCAAAAGTAGCAAATGTCCCATAGACATAGTAAATACATCAACATTAGAACACATAGACATGTACTCTGTGACACTTTTTGGTGTGGTTCCTGTCAGTGAAGATACTATCATCAGCAATGGACTTTTCCATTATTCCCAGTGATCCCAGGAGTAGTCCCTCAGTAGTCCCTTGCTGGGGTTAGTGATATCCATTTGGGAGCCATTTTGGAGTATATGAAAGGTACTATTGGGAAACCTGCTGGGTAGGGGCTAAATATTTATTTATTTATTTATTTATTTATTTATTGGACTTATATACCGCCCCATAGCGCTACAAGCACTCTCCGGGCGGTTTACAATTTTAATTATAAAGGCTACACATTGCCCCCCCAGCAAGCTGGGTACTCATTCCTGAAGATCTGTGCATGGGGCAAAGAACAGGTTTTATCCCTCTCTCGGTCATGGTTAATACGGTGGCAGATGATAACCAAGGCTGCTTCTCTTTGCACACCCCCACCCATAATCTTCATAGCCCCATCCACCATTTCTGTTTTCTTCGACTGGAGCCTTAAGGACGTGTAGGTGGGAGTAACTCCCACTGGAAGTTATGTCCTTCTGAGTAAAGATGCAGAGGTTTGGATTCCATGCCACAGAGTGCAACAGAACCATTTGTGATATATATTTTAACACTGATGTCTTGTAACACCAAACAGCAGAATCAATAGGACTTCTTTGCCACCTTTCAACAGATAAATGTATTAATACTTTGAATTCCCACCATCAGTCATGCTTTGATTTTGAAAGAATGAATGCTAAAACAAGGTACATGTTCTTGGAAAAATCTTTTTGTATATTGAAAGGCAAAGCTAAGCTTGCTATCATGTACCATAAATATTATTAGCATGCCTTCCTATTGGGAAAAAAAATCAATACAATGTTTCATGTGTGTTTGAGCCTAAGACCATGCATGCCTGTTGAGACTTGTTAGTTCTTTGAACTGTGCTAGTTACTTTTACAAAATATGTTTAATGAAGATTATTAAATGGATGCCTTCCTAATAAATGGGGTCTCAGTCTGTATCTGGGTCAGGAACCAAAAAATGCTATTTATTTTAAAGACCTGTTTCCCTGAAACTCCTTGTCCAATTATTGGACATGTTAAAGAGCTACAAAGATTTTGTGTTGGGCTAAAGCCTGTCAGATTAGTCTTACTTTGACAGTCTAATAATTGATGCATCAAATTTATCTCTGCCAGGTCATATACCATCGCCTGTGAAGAACTACTCAGATATCTTTTCTTCAAACACTAACATAACTTTACTGAACAAAACTGCACATTCATCTCATCTATCCTAGCTTTGCAAATGCTTTAAACTTATCTTAAAATCCTAGCTACCTCACCAAGTTCTTCCTTTTATAAATGAACACACACTTCTCAGAATATACTCCTACATAGAAGACTATAGACTGCTATTGGAGGCATGGAAGCTAGGCCACCAAAAAAACCAAAAAGGTAAAGTGGAGACACCACAAGGCCTTGTTGATGTTGTTCTTTCTCTTTCTCTCCCTCCCCTCCCATGTTTAGTAACAACTATTCAGAGACAGGACATTGGGGGTGGGAGGGGGAGGCCCTACATTTCACTTTTTAAGCAACACTGCAGTTATCTTGTAATTTATTTTTTCAAGATAGGCAATCCAAGTTTCTCCTATCAATTTTTCAGTGTTCCTAAGCATGTTCCTCTTTTTAATACTGGAGCAGATACATTTTTAATGTTTTCTAAGAGATAAAAAATTCACATCAGACATTAAGAGAATTAAGCATACTTATTCAACACACATGGGGCCTCTGAGAAAAATGTCATTCAATTTAATCGTTTTAATTTACATTGGGTATGTACAACAGCATTTCTTCCGACCCCACAGGTTAACTCTCATACTCATCTCCCCTCTCTCCCTCCCCCCACATACACACATGAGCATGCACACAGACAATACACTTCCTCTGTTTCTTCCTCTCTCTCTCTCTCTCTCTGCTGCTGCTAAAGGAGCAGAGGACTATCTGAAGCACTCTGTCTTGTGAAATAAAAGCAAGGCACTCTCCTTTTAACAACTGTTAAATTCCTGATTTTAGCCTATGAAACAAGGCATCTTCATGCTGAGGATTCTTAAGAAAAGGAATAAAATGAGTGACTTTAAACCTTCCTTTCTGTTGAGATTTATCAGTGATCCTACTCGATGAAGAAATGTTGATGAAATTTGAAAATATGTAACAAAGATGCACCGCAAAAGCCGCATGTTGAAAAAAATCCATGGACTTTGAAGCATAATGATTACCTTAAACAGAGGGTTCTGAAATCTTTCAGTTACAAAACATATTATTTCTAATAAATTTATGTTGCTTTAAAAAAAAAGAAATGTTGTTCTATGGGACAACACAGATTTCGGTCTGAGGAAGTCTTATGAACTTTCTTCTTTTTTATTTTAATATGAAAAGTGGTTTTCCTATCTCTTGTAAAAAATTTGCAGCATAAGATGACATTCTACTGTAATATGAATGAAACATGAAACCCAATGAAAAGTTCCTATTAACTTCAGTGGGGGTAATGGTAGTACATGTGCCAAAATATTAGCACAGTGTTAAAATTCTATTGTGATTGTGTACATAAGAGGTGCAAAAATTCAAATTAAAAATCACAATAGTTTGCCTTGCTGGATATGGCAAGTGAGATCAGCCTACAAGAAAAATCAGTTTCCTCTCATTTTTAATTATGCTATTCTGTTTGCACATAAAGTCAATACAAAAAAGAAATACGTTTTCAAATATTATATGCAGGTAAACTGAAAGTATTAGAAATAATGATTAGAAGCCTGTTTCTCTATTGACACTATTACCAATCTTGATAAAAGAATAATTGCCCACCCCACCCCAAAACACATCCAAACACATTAAATGATGAAACCTCAGCAACTTTTTGAAAACCGATTATATCTCGATATCTAGGTTATCCACTGCAGCTATTAGGCAGTTAGTTTGGTATATATTTGATTGTATAATTTAATTTCCATATAAACGACATAGTTAAAAAAGGACAAAATTACTGTTGACTGTTCAAAACTAACAAAAAATACAGGGACATCAGATCGACATTCAAAAAGGTTTTTTTTTCTTAGCAAAATGATCAATCAAACCTTGACTTAATACAGTGCATATAAATTTTTTTTGTAAAGAACGAAAATATTTAAATATTATTTAAGTTAGCAAAACATGAACAGGATTTTTAATATCAAAGTGCTAAATCGTACTGCCTTAAAAGTCACTGCAAATAAACAGTAAGATAAGGTTTGCTTGTGAAAGGACAGCCTTTATATACAACTGGTTAATAAAAATACACACATGCATGTGCATGTGTGTGAGACTACCCACACCCAAACCCACACCCATTATATAACTGAGTCAGTGTGAACACACTATTTAGCCACTCTGTGTAACACGGCTCCCATGAGCTGGCGGTCATAGCAATAAATACAGGCGAAGCTTTACAATATATCATGCATACAAATATTTATACAAATAAGGACACTATGCAACAAATTGTTTCATATTAATATGGCATCAACAGTATAAACATACAAAATAGGGAGGGTACATACATGGAATGTTTAAAACGCAGCCCCTTGAACCCTTCCTGCCATTTATGTTCATTTGCAAGACTGGTTCTCTTCCAAACTTTGTGATGTCTGTTCACTAACCAATCCACCTAGCTTAGTTCTAACTTTAACTGTGCCTGATGCTGACTCTGGCTGTTTCAGTTACTATGCTCTGTTCTTTGCTTAATCTGCTAAGGAGTAAGCTTGTGTTGTGAGTCCTTCACAGCTTGCCCTATGTCTTGCCTTCCGCCTATTATAGTCAGTAAATCACGCTACATTAATCCAAATTTTGAGAAATGTTGTCATGGAAGTTAGTGAATGCAAAACCTTTTCCAATCACTTTTATTTCTACCACTTTAATTTCTGTACTAAAATAAATTATAGTTAATAAACAAGACTTCGTAAGACAGCACTTTAAAAATTGCACTTGAGCATGGGAGCTAACAGCCATTGTCGTTTTGCTATATCTGATTTATATGAAACAGTGAACATTGTTAGGAAAGGAATGGAAAGGAAGCATATTAGTTTGTGCCAGCATTGTGTCTCCTGGCACAGAAATAGGCTAAAGGTATAAACTATAAAATACATACTACCCGGATGAACAATTTTTTTTATTGTTCCTGTTCTCAAACATAGAGCATCTACAATTTTCTACTCACCAACTAAGATGAGGTGCTATGCAACAGCTTTTAAACAGTCGTATTAATATCTTCTTTCTCCTGCTGTGGTAGCATAATCCAAAAGTGCTATATCAGCTTTTAAAACAGAAACTGTACTCAACCCCTCCCTCTCCAATTCCTCATCTCCAGAAAAGTAAGTTATGCTTTAGGTGTTAGTTTGCCAGGAAATTCCTAAAGATAAGTCCACTGCTTAGGGCTGGATTGGCTCCCAGCACCTCATTAGATGACAGGAGTGTGGTTAGCAGTAAATTTCCAGTCTTTTTGCCTGCTCTGATAGACAGTTGTTTTTCATAAGGGCAGCTGTGAACCTCAGAAAGGTAAGGTGTCCAGAAAGAGCTTGTCAATAATGGAAGGGGGTGGCACCAAATCCTCCAATTTCAGGTAAAAGATACGTTGCAGTCCTAACGTGCAGAGGGAGCGCAAGTCAGCAAGGACACCGAGTACCTTAGACTCTGCGGACTCAAACGGTTGTCCTTTGCTCTGGCAGCTGAAGGCTAAGTGATCTTTCAAACTGCTCATGATCTTGTTGCATAGCTCGTGCACTTTCTTTGGTTCTTTTAATCCATGCCGTTCTGCAAAGACAACAGAGGAAAACTAACTGAGTATGCATATTATGTGAAGAAGTCTTCTGGTGCTTAAATAGTTGCAAATAATAGGAATTCTAACAGTAATTACATAGCTCTGCACGTCAGTACGGGGCATGCAGGGATCTGCATTTCTGAATCAGCGCGTAACATACAATGCTAGCTGACCTTGGTTCTTCCAGTGTCACTCGTGGGCAACAGTTGATTTTCGAATTAGAGACCAAAACATTTATATTACTACAAATGAAGAGAAAGCAACCAAAATGATCTGTACTATATTTATGCAACATTTTAGTGTCATCCTTTCCTCAGAGGATTTGATGGCAGAACTGTCACAGAAGGTGTTTTGGAGATTTCCCAGCTTCCCTACCAGTTGTGAATGCTCAATAACTATGGCAACCATTATTTATTCAGTGAATTCAAGTGGAGATCAATATCCATTGCTAGCTCCATCAGTGTTAGGCCTGGAATTCCACCAGGAATTCACAGACACTCTTCCGAGAGACCAAAAGAAACCAAAATCACCTCCACTAGCCTTTGTTACTTAGATATTTTACTTTTGCAGGGTATTTACCTCTAGAGGGTTAGAAATAAAGTAATATCAAAGATAGATATTTCAGGCCTAGAACTAAGTTGTATAAAAAGGTTATGATAGTGCCTAGGTAAGAAAAATCCTAAGATCCTTATATTCCATTTCTGTTAAATCTATGTCAGACATATTTGGCTGTAGTATAGAAGACACAGGCAGAGCACTGCTGGACCAAACTCAAAGCTCATTCAATCCAATCTCCTGTCCCCCAAGGAAGCCAAAGAAAAATTAGACATGCAGCTTCCCACTCGTGTTATTCTCCCTCCCCCATCAATTGGCACTTGGTGGCATCTTCCCTCTGTACTCCTAGCCATTGCAGCTAATAATCAATGATAGATCTATCCTTCATGCATTCAGCTTCTTTTTAAGGACACCAGTGCTAATGGCAATCACCACTTTGTAGCAATAAATTCAATACATTAATTATTCAACTAAATTATTAAGTCAGTTGTGTGTTCTATGAAATACTTTTGCCTGTCTGTAATGTATACAGCCAAAGGATTTCTTTGGGGAACCCCAAAGGCTGGTATCATGGAAGAAGGATTAATATTACTAGCCCACTTTTTCCATAACACAAATTATTTTATACACTTCTCTGACCTCTGCCTGTCTTTCTTCTAAATTAAAGTATCATAAATGCTTCAGGAGGTGTTCCAGTGTTTGATCATTTTTATTGCCTTTCTCTGTGCTGTTTCCAAATGTACCATGGCCTTTCTGAGATGGGTTACCAGACTCGAACCTAAGACTGCATGTAGCCTAAGTCAGTCACATTTCATTTCCAGTGAAACCAGCAGAAGTTAAGTTATGGCTCTTGCAGACAGAACATCTGTACCCTTTCAAGCTCTGTATTAAGCATGGACCTTAACAGCATTTTTCCTACTTGGACCTTCCCACCTCTAGACAACTTTGTTCTTATTTCTGTATGTATAGGCATAAACAGAGTTTTTGTGGGTTTTTTTTGCAGGAAGAGGAAAAGGGCGCGCAAAGTTCTAGAATTCTAACGGGCGTGACACCAGGGAGAAGAGACCGAGGTGTACAGATGGAATGGAGTGCGGGGCAAGAGGGATTTGCCACACTCCTTAAGGAATTCCCCAACCTCCAAGTTGGAGGAGGACTATAACCTGAACCAAAGGACTTACGCACGCGAGGGGAAGACGTAGAGCCTCTGGAATGGACAGTTGTGGTGTACTCTCGCAACCAGCATGGGGGGAGGAGGGTGATCCGTCCCAGTCCCTCTTTACTCCAGCCTCAGCGAGAGGGGGACTGGGCGAGACACCCTTGCTGCGGGACCATGTGCATGGTGAGGACAAGCTGCTGAGGCCCATGACCGACCAGGAGAGATGACATCAAGACGCCAGATGTTAAGGTGCAAAGTTATCATTTGTTGCCAGAACCTAGTTTGGTGGACCCTTTTGAACCCATGGAGTTGAGCTTGTTTAGTAATAAATCCAGTTATGTTAAACATAAGGATCAGCCTCCACCTGTCCTTTCCGCACCACCGCAGGGGTCGCACACGTCAAACAACGAACCCAATCACATGTGTTCATGGAAGTCAGAGGTGGTGGCAAAAGAGGCCTAGTCTAACACTAAACTGCTTCTCCATTTTCGTGCCCTTGGAGAGGCAGCTGCTGGCTCCCCAAAGTTACCTGCCTGTCTCTCTCTCTCACTGATCCTTTCTGCGGCTTGGTGCCTGTTGGCACAGATTCAAGAAGAAAAGAAACTCATATTTATTTACCAAAAATGAGACACAAAGCAAAAGCAAGCTAACTTGCAAGATAGAGGAGGTGAGAAAGGCATGAGCCAGTGCAAAGAGTAAAATATATAGTTTTCTTCAAAACTAGAGGGCCCTTTGCTGCCTTAAGATTTTATTCTTGTTGTAAGTATCATAGGAATGCTGTAAGCCTAGGGCTCAAAGCCGGGGACTTCATAGATTATTGCAGTCCTTGAGATGTCAGACAGTGAAGTGCACTTGAGACAACAGGAAAGTGGTTTGGATTGAGTTCAGTGGCCCCTTTGGTCTGATCTCTATTTTTTTTTTCAGAAAGCAAATAAGATGGTGAAGGAAGGTCCCAGGCATCTATCCTTCCACATCCTGTTCTTTATAGACATGTGCTCCCCCTATTTCAACTTCCTTCTGATTTGTAGTTACTTCTCCCCCTTTCCCCACAAGGGGTACTACCTGACTCCTGGATGCTTCACAAAGTTGGGGGACAGGTCAGTCCAAATCTCTGAGCTCTTGAGTCAGGACAGATATCCTGCCCCATCCAGCTTGCCTGTGCCCCTATGCTTGAGAAGAAACCGCTATGCTGCCTTCACCCTCTGGTTAACTGCTGGTAATCCTTTACAATAAAAGAGCGTAAAAATACTTTTGGCCCTCCTTCTTCCACTTCCAGGTCAATCTTTGGACTCCAGCTCAACTTCTTCTGGACCATTAAGTTTAATGAGGCCACTGTCATCACACTGGTGTCTGACTAATGCAAAAAGTGCTAGACCACTGTCTATACCAGTGATGGCTAAATTTTTTGAGCCCGAGTGCTCAAACCGAAACAACAACAACAACAACCCCCCCCACCACCACCACCACCACCACCACCACCACCACCACCACCACCACCACCCAGTGGGCGGCAGGTGTGGTGGCGGCAGAAGTGGCGGAAACGGACACCTCACAATAAATAAAGTAATAACTTCCTTAAAGCTGATCACTTTATACAGTAATAATTACCAGGCAAACTGGATTTGTCCAAAAGAGATAACTGAATTCAGGAATCTTCGTGACTACTAAAGGCTAGGCTTTAAGCACAAGGCAGAGAGCTCTGTGTGTGACAACACTGATTTTAATGAGCATGTGTGTATCTACCTCTTTGTTGGACAGCAAACACGGTATTTACTGAGCCACTTGCCTACTGTGGAATTTCAAATAAAACTGACAGAATGTGACCCAAAATAAGGAACTGAAGCTCAAGAGTATATAATATCCCAAATATTTCACTGGAACTTAAGCGAACTTCAAAACTCAAGACCTCTGTCTCTGCAGTCAGTGGTTTAGAAATCTGATTGCAGAGCCAGAGTGTGATTCCTCCTATGAAGCCAGACTGTGTGGCCTTGGGCCAACTATACAGTACCAGGACACCACAAAAAGAAGGAATTGGTGAACCATTTCTGAGTATTCTCTACCTGGAAAGCCCTGAAAAGGGTTACCATAACTCAATATTGATTTGACAGCATGTGATTATTAAAATTGATCAGGACTTAATCTTAACAAGAAAGGCTACTGTACTAAAATATTTACAGTAGCCTAAAATTTTATTTTGAATGTTTACAAAATCTCTATAAACTCAAGATAAACATCAGTAAAATATTCAGTCAGCAGCAATATGGAAATTTATATACAGGATTTCTAAGTATAAACTTATAAGTATATATAGGATTTGACACAGTTAACTTTATATATGTGTTGGACTCAAAGAAAACCTAGCCAGAAATCCATCTTAACCTTCTATGAATTAGGATAATTCATTTTTAATTTGGCCATCACACTCCAATGCCACACACTGCCTATGGAATTTATTAAACGTAAATGCTCTGATATACTTTTTTTTGTAACCACATTTGCAGAGCCTCCCACCACCATTAAAGGAGCAGTTACCTGTAATAATACTTAGAGCTGATAAGCATGCTAAGGCTGGGATGTCAAGGTTGAGGCTCTGTAAATTTAAGGAAAAGTCTTTAATTGAGTCGAGCCACTCCCCAAATCCACGAAGGCACTGAAGTCTATGAAGCACAAGTCCATTGCAGAAAATAAATTTATCCTCAGCAGTGTCAGATCTTGAATATATATGTTTGCATTAAAAGACAAAAAACAAAGCAAAGCAAAGTCACTTTATGAATGTGGTTAGGTTTACACGTGCATACACTGTTATTAAATGCACACTATCTAAATTCCAACAGAGAGATCCCTGCACATGCATCTGAATGGAAAAAATATATTTACTTATATGAGAAGCTGAGAAATAACTAAGAATTCTTTGTACCATTAGGCACTTGAACTTAAGCACAGCATAAACAAGACATGCTTGTTTCTAAACTTAGTGAAGATACAGTTCTATGCTTCCTTAAGACTTGTTTATAGAATTATGAGCTCCTAAGTTTCTTTCAAAAAATGAATAGTTTTGGGCTGTATCCTGAGTACCTATACACACACACACACACACACACAGAGAGAGAGAGAGAGAGAGAGAGAGAGAGAGAGTACATCATGCTTTGTTTACACAGGTAAGGAATCTCAGAATATATATGACAGATCCTAAATACATGTAATTTAAAATAAATCCTCATCGTATTTACATCTTGCAACTTTTTCACAGATCTTTAAAAAAAAGTATTTACAGATCCGAGAGTCATGTTTTAATCTTCCTCTGTGAAAGTAAATCTCTGCAACTAGAAATCTAGCACATCATAGAGATCAACAGACTAGACTCTTTCTCTTTGACAGTTCATTTTGTATATGCAGAGAGTTTAGTCCTGGAATTTCTTAATCTGCAGTGTAGAATTGTAGTGTGTGAGTACTTCAGTTATTTGAACTGTTATGTCAATTACTCCAACATCCTATATGTTTCCTTGATATCCCTGATGTCTATTTGTTTGTACTGAAATCTGCTTTGCCTATGCCCGCCTAATCTATGCAACTAAGATGCTATATTTTCCCCTTTCTTTTTTTAAAAGCATATTCTATTCATGGAAAATCCTAAGCAAATCAAGAATCACTTCAAGGGGAATTTTTTCTATGTTCCTTATTAGTACTAGGTAAACCTATGGCTGTGTAAATGTCAAATTGCCATTTGTCAATCAAGAGATCTTGATTATCCAAAAAGCAGAACGGTCAACATAATTTGAACTCAATAACTATTCATATATTGTTAGTTGAAATCACGTTGCTTTTATTTGTTATAATTTCACAACTAGATTTTTTTTTCACTTACCTGATGGAGAGCCTCAATACAAAAAGCTCTAAGAAAGCTGATTCTATGAGTAAAGTTTGATCTTCCTTTTGGAGGTCTGTAAATCCTGGAATTTTTTCAGCCCAGCTCCTGGATATGTCAATGGAGGCAGTAAGAAGATTATAGAACTGCTGGACGTGTTCTGCGTCGGTACCTGCAGAAGCTTGCTCAGTGGAACAGTACTAGAAGGGTAGTAGTCAAAAACAAAAGAGAGAGAATATATGTGTTTTAAAGAAAAATGGCATTACAAACATCATTATTGCCCTGTTTGTTCCTAGACAAAATAAATAGCTTTCATAAATTGTCTACTTGTTTTTGTCTCAGAGTCCAGCAACATTAATGAAATAAATCAGGAGATGGATTGATGTATTTGTAATCAGTTTAAATTCCTCTGGTAAGCACATGGTTTTTGAGTCATTGTGTGTGTCCCCTTGGGAAAACTTTTATTCTGTCTTTATACTGTGTTGTATATCAATTGAGGGGGCAACACAGACTTTTAGAATAGTTGCATTTGAAGCTTTAACCTGTGCCCACCCATCCTCATACTGGTTGCCTCACCCCACTGCTGCTTTGGGGTTATTTCTAATCAATTTTAGATTTTGGGTTGCTTGCTATCTGAAATAGCACAACTATGACATGACAGATAGGAAAAAAAAAACACCAGATTGGACCTCAGCTCAACAAACACTCACAGAGAGAGAGAGGGGTGGTGGTGGTGGTGGTGGTGGTGGTGAAAGTGAGATGGATCCAGGAGTTGGTGTGGTGAGAAGGAAGATGCACCAGTTGAGTGGAAATTTATACTAGCCAGCAAAGAGAGAAAGGCTGGGTGGGGGAAGTGTTAGCTCTTTCTGAGGCACAGAAGCTCATGATCTTTTAAATTTCTCTTGTCAGTTTCTCTCTTACTGCTGCCTCTTCCCTCTCACCACCCTGGATCCTGGATCTCTCTCTCCTTCTCCACACACACCATATGTATGTCTCTGAGTGTGTCTGTCTCTACAAGACAACAGATGCAATTTTCACTGACAGAGGTGTGTGCATATGTTGAAACAATTGATAATAAATTGATATGACATCTTTGTTAAAGGAAACAACACTCTGATGGAAGAGTAAAATAACTTGCTTTTGATTTAAAAAATGACTATTTCTGGGCAAAAATATCTGCACTTCCATGTACATCGTGTAGTCACCATTCTAATATCAATTTAAAACATGCTAAACCCAATTCAAATAGGATTTTTCCTTAATGTAACCACACTCTTATACAAATAATAATTTTGTACAAAGTCACAACATATGGTGATTCAAATAGGCCAAACGTTGTCTCTGAGCAGTTGCTATATTATCCTTAAAGACTTACTGATGCTTCCCAGTCGGAATTATATTTCATAAATATATATCTTAAAACAATATCCTTATATCACATTCTCTTGGTATGTCACTTAGCAAAAGAGAATACTGTACAAGCAAACTAATGCAGTAGTTTAGAGGCTAACAGATGAAAACTTGCACTGAAACAAACTTTTAAAATACTCCATTATTTTGCCTCCCGCACCCCACATTGGGACAGATTAACCTGCCACCTCTTTGGCAATCCCTGTCTGTGATATTTCCAAGTTCAGCTGTGGCACCCAGTGATGTGGAGCAGAGGTGGGGAAAATGCACTAAATGATATCATCAAAACCCAGAGGAAGTGATGCTACACATTACGGCAGAAGTTGGGAAAACTGAACATCAGGATGCCATTTTTTGCAGCAACCATATATTACATAAAAATATGTAGTTCTGGCCGTTAATATATTATTGCTAAAGTCAGATCTTGGACATATGCTTTTACAAGTAATGACCTATTTATAACTAGTTCTTCTTTTCAGTAACAAAAGTACAGCGAATTAATTATGACTATAATATAAGATGGGATAGATATTGTTTCTTTTGCAGTGTAGCAGTAATTTTTAAAGCAAAGCAAAGCAGAGTGTGCTGCTTATACACTGCTTCATAGTGCTTAGAGTTATCTCTGGGTGGTTTGCAATTTAATTATGCAGAACACACACTGCCCCCCCCCATGAGCTGGGTACTCAATTTATCAGGCTTGAAAGGATGGAAACTTGAGTCAGCTACCTGAGCCTGGGATTGAACTCAGGTTGTGAGCAGAGTCTTCACTGCAGTTTTGCAATTTAATGACTGCACCACAAGGCTCATACTAAATAGTTCATAGGCTTTTTTAAACAATATAAATATTGTTTAATCATTATATTAGTTAGAATCTCACTAAAATGATACAAATTAATGTTACATGGTACAAACATGGCAATATCCTGTGCCTCATAAATTATACTCCAAAAAGAAAAAAAAACCTTTGGTTTGAAGCAAAAAAATCTAATTGAAATTATACACCAGAAACCAAGGAATTCAGACCATATATCAATCTGTCACTCAAAAATAGACATATTGATGTATTCCTTGCTCGCTATAAGTTCTACCATACATAAGTACAACAACATAATTCAACTCCTTATATACCACATCATTAGTAGCGTGAAAGAGCTGAAATGAAACACAGCAACTCTGAAAGGCAGATTCGCAACATGGTGCTATGCACAATAACATAATTTTACTAGTCCAGTCCAATTGATTGAAAGCAACAATATTCAAAGGACACACAATATCTGCTAAAATTTTTTTTAAAGAAATGCAACAAATTTTTAAAAGATCCAACTTTTAAAAAGCTGTTCAGAATACTCCTTCCCTCTCCCATTTCAGTGATTTCAAGGATAAATAAAGGCACACTTCATCTGTTATTTAGAGAAAGGTACTGCCATGAGTCTCCATTTTCTTCATTTTCTTGTAATAGAGCTGTAAATAAATCCTTCCCACTATTCCCTTCTGATTTTTCACCAGCACTTACTGCACATATTACAACATACAACACAGTTGGAGAGGTGGGTTTTGTGACCAAGCTAGACTTTTTGTGCATATACCATTGAAGGTAGATGTGAAAGAAGTAGCCATGTTAACTCTATTTTGGTATGTATCTCCCCCAGAAAAATAAAAATGAAAGTAGTGTGACACCTCTAAGATAGTAACAGATTTATTTCAGTGTGTGTTTTCATGGATTATAACCTTAGCCTTGAGAAAAGAAGACTGAGGAGAGATAGGATAGCAGTCTTCAAATACTTGAAAGATTGTCACAGAGGAGAGGCATGATCTGTTCTCAATTATCCCACAGTGCAAGACATGTAATGTAACGGGCTCAAGTCACAGAAAGTTGGATTTCGGTTGAATATCAAGAAAATTATCCTGTAGTACAACAATGGAACCAATAACTGCAGGACATGGTAAATGTCCCAATGCTGAAAGCATTCAAGAGAAAATTAGACAACCATCTGTCAGATCTACTTTGATTTGGTTCCTGCATTGAACACGGAGTTGGACTCTGTGACCTCATAAGGCCCCTTTCAACTCCATAAGCTCACAGCAAAATAAATCTGTAAAACTTAAAGGTGCAACAGTTTTTTTTCATTACGTCATAGGCAGAGTTTGTACAGAATTTCAGGTACAGTAAATCTATGAGGTCCTGGTCAATTGAACCTTTTTGTACAAGAAAGTACAAGAATACTGGTAAGACTTCCAATGTATTTAGAAAAGAGTGTCACATCTCTAATTATTTGCATGCTGAACAGCTTTAAATGACTCTTTGATTATGCCTTTATTTCCTGAGGAAATATTTTACCCATAATTCTTCCTTAGGGGATATATTTTTTGATAACTCTGTCAGCATAAGTTGAGAAAATACTTTTCAGGACTTGAATATTTTCTTTTAATAGCTTGAGTTAATTTAGTCCCTACATAACACAAGCATGTACAGGTTTCTGTTGCTGGTTTCGCCACTGTGACGGGATACAGCAGAGGTCCTCAAACTGTAGGGAATTCTAGGATTCTTTAAAAAATCCATTGTTTCTTCCATGAAAGTCAATCACAATGCAGATGAGACTTTCCTGAAAGTCTTCTCATCACAGCCAGTTTCTGAAATGTGCAATTACAGCAGAATTTTGTGTGTGCATTCTAGTGAACTTTTCAAGTTTAGTTTTGATCCAATGTGTTATGTATTTCTTTGTTTCCAAGAGAGAAAGATAAGATAAATAGACAGGCTGTTCAGCACCCACTGAAAATGGAGTACGTGCCCTAAGGTGCTCCTTCAATCTTCAGCAGAGCTTGGGAAGTTGCTTTCTAGTACTGATTTGTTCCTGTTTTATTTTTACAGTGGCTCACTTCTATTACTTGTTGAAAAGATTTTGAAATAGTAATTGCTCATCAAATTATTTTCTGCTTATCATCACTTTTTAAAAAAAAGTATGAAGACAGTTTTTAACAAAACAGCAACAATAACATGTTGCACAGCAATGGTGTAAACCTAGTTGTTTCTTAATTTCACAAATGAAAGGCAAATCACATCGAATTATGTCAACACATCCACACTTTCCTGCTTTCTTCTTTTGCACTATGCAAATAGTACTATTGTACAACAGTACAATAGTAAAAATGCAGTCTTGGTGCAGTCTATGGTGATTCCCTTGAACATGGTCTGGAGGTTGTATCTGGTGTGGAATACTATTATCTAAATATTGACGGGTGGAGAGAGCTGACTATATTAAATGATTCTGAAATTTCTGCTCTGAAAGCCAACGAGTCACTGGGCCCAATTCAGAGTGCTAGTGTTAGTACAGAAACCCCTAAATGGTTCAAGATGCAAGAACTTCACTGTGACTGACTTACCTAACACCAACTAAGGAAATTCTGCCAGTTGCCTGGAGTAGTGTGGCATATAAGGCTACTACATGTGGTATGGCCTTCTCAGTAGATATTCTATCTATTGAACTGCCTTCTGGTGGAAATTCAGTTGTCCTTCACATTTATGTCATTCAGCTAATGGCTAAAATATACTTATCTGTACATTTTTGCAGGGTATAAGCAAATATTTCACCTGTTTTTTGCTGCTTACTTATAATGTCGGTTTATTATATATTTTTTAGAATCCTATGATTTGTAATTTTAGATGTGTGTGTTTTTCATTAAGCTACTGGCTGCCCTGGAATCCTGTGAGAAAAGGTGGGCTATAAATAAAATAAACCATTATCATAATCTCCTCAACAGATTTCCTATGGTTGTCCTAAACTTTTCTTGCAAGTTTACCAATAAATTTATGAATGATCTCTGTATTGTTTGTATCTCAGTATAACAAAAACTTAATAGGTAAATGAGTGGGAATAAGAATTAAAGCAACACAGGAAATGTTAAATGCATAATCTAATGTAATGCAGTAACCCACAGTTATTCCTAAAATAAAGTACAGGATACTTTTGCCATGGGATAAGTTAGTGGTTTCTGTTTATTAGGCCACCTGCTGTTCCTGAATATGTGTATGATTCATACAGGGATTTCAGACTGAACTAGTACTTTGTGAATTGCATATAAGGTGAAAGAGATATTGCTTTTTTCCTTCTCATCCCATTACTTCACAGTCCCATTGTTCATCCTCACTTGTCTTCTGAATTGAGGAAAACTCTCTTTTTTCTCCTAAAGCAAATGGGGACGAGGGAAAGTGAGTAACTGGAGCCAGAAAGGAATGAGGTAGGTGGTTTCTCTGAAATTGTATTTGTTCATTGAGAAATATGTTATCTCCCATTTGCAAGTGACAACTTGGGACCCAATTCAGATATTTTATCTCTCTGACCAATATGAGTAGTGCAACGTATCTGCACACATGGAAGCAAATCTAACTGAATTGTTGTCAACTGAATTGAACAGAGAAGGGTGGGGAAAAAAAGGAAGATGGTTATTCTGCCCCTTTGCCTAAAAAGCAGCCTTGTCTTAAGGGAAAAACTGTCACAACAGTTTCCTAGAATGCATCTTATGATGTTAAAAGGCTCAGGAGCAGGGGCTGATTTGCAATCTAAAATGGGATTTGTGAATTTGAGAATTTAAAAACATTTTGCAATAACCATAGTATCACTGCTCTACACCTTGTAAGACAACTCCTCAAACATTTCTTTAGGTCAGGAACACATTTTGTTCACAATCAATTTCTGACATCTGCATAGCTAGAGTCTTCAGGCATTGCTTTGTCAAGTGCACTGCATATAAAACTGGGAAATGTCAGTGCACACAGTGTGTATGTTTTCTATTTAAGGGTGGAGAATATACAGCAAAACTTAATTAAATACAGTAATTGATTGAGTAGTTAATTGATTGATTGATTGTGTGTAAGGTTAACTTTTTGCTGAATTTGTTTATCTTCTTTGAATAGTAGCCTGAAGTGCAGAAGTTATAAAGAGCAAGTTATGACAGAAAAAGTTTACTAAAGTTTGAATTGATTATAAAATTACCAGCAGTTACCGGTAATTGCTAAAGTTATTGGGGCTCCCAAAAAGACTGACAATCCTATCAAAGCAATATATATAAGCATTGGCATAATGCACGTAAAACTAGCACTACAATCACTTTTATATTAAATGTCTTACTTTAGTTTAGCTATCTGCAATGTAAAAATCTCTGAATTTAGTTTCTATATCATACATGGTGACAGTGATGGCTCATCATGTTGTTATTTAAACTGTGTTTGTTTAATTTGACACCTGACTCGAACTAAAGTACATGTTGATTAAGTTAGTAGCCAAAATCCTATTGGAATTTTTCACTGGCATAGTACTGGCATATTACAATGGCATAGGACTAATAGGATAGCCTTTGGAGGTGAGTTGCCTCGCCGCCCAGAAGCCACTGGCAATGGTGCGGCTAAAAAATATTGTAAATAAATAAATAAATAAATAAATAAATAAATAAATAAATAAATAAATAAATAAATCACCGTAGTTATTGTCTACTGTATGCCAAGTTGCATGACTCAGTATGCCACAGATAATGTTTACAGTAATAACTGTAATTGAGGTAATTCTGTCTTCCTATGGTCAGTTGCTTAGCACCCATGGAGGCACATATGCATGCTGCTTCCTCCCTCTGTCATCATTTTTGCAGCTTCTAACACCTTAAGGCCATTCTTCATCCTGTAGCTCACAGTATTGTCTGTGACAGGGCAGGGGAACTTTTGGCCTTCCAGATAGTGTTGAGTTTCAACTCCCACAAGCCAGGCCAGCATTGTCAATGGCCAGAGATAATGGGCCAGTTGCACAAAAACATCTGGAAGGCCACAGAGCTCCTGCCTCTAATTTATGGCATCAGATCCAATGGGAAGGGAAGAAGGAGCCAAATACAATTTTTGTGCTAGGCCCAGAAAATCCTCATTAGTAGTCCTGCACACAGCTCTTAAAAGCACATGTTCTTGGTTGAGAAGAAAATGTAGAAACCAAAGGCTAACACAAAAAAAGTAGTCACCCTTCTTCCTTGCTCATCTGGAAGATTCTTGTTTAGAAGTAAGCGAACACTTGTTTGACGCTATAGCCTCAAGGAGTTAAACAAAGTATGGAATCCTTGTTTTGACCTGAGCAGCTGACTAGTTCTTATCATGGAAAACAAGTCATTCTAACTGCATATTTGTCCTCCTGTGCACAACAGTTCTCTCCTGAAAACTGCAGTCTGATGCCATATCCTGTTCAGATATTCTCTTGGCTTTGGAACCTGATGGGCTCGTTTGCCCCTTCAGGCCTTTGTAAGCATCCCCCTTCTGCTGAGGTTGCCTTGTAAATGATCCTCTTCTATTTTAGAATTGTCAGAAGGAAAGGCAGGACCAGAAACACAAAATTTTCCTCATAATGTTCAGTTCCTTAAAAAATACCTTTTAAATTTATGATTTTCTTGTGTCAGTTATGGGGCACTATCCTCATGAAGTCAATATGTATTTTGCTAGAATATAGAGTTCAGTTTGGAGATAGCTTCTCATTTCCTTAACACAGTTCAAGTCTGAAATGGGATTGCACCAGTGCAAAAACAGGTGGGAGACCCAAATTAGTGCTGTGCCCTTTAAAGAGTCTCCTCCTAGTGACTGCTTTTTGAAAGCAAGTTTCTAAATATACTGTTACTATGGACTGGTATATTAATATCAGTCCAAAAACACAGAGTACCAAAAAGTCAAGATAATTCATGTGGACCTTGAATCGGGTTCCCTATTTACTGTGTAGTTTTTAAAGTTAGATCAGGATCAAAATTCTAACAAATAAGATTTTTAAAAACTGCTAGAATTGCTGCATGTTATGAGCCCTGAATTCTGCAGTGTACTGGAGAAGCCCTTTACATGTTCTAAGAGCTGTCCCTACCTGTAAAAGCCAACATTTATAGAACACATCTACAAAATAAAAGTACAGATACTTAACACTCATTCCATATTTCATTTAACAGACTCAATTTCACTTGTTCTCTCCAGTTTTTATAGAAATGTGATGAATTTTAATTAGCAAAATAGTCTTGACTACTGAAAACTTGCTTAGAAAGATAAGCATCAAGTACTGAGACCAAGTACAAAAAAAAATCAGATGGGAACTAAATATTACATTAAAATTAAAATGTTCAGTGCCATCTCTTCCACTTCCCCATCTTTTCATAAGTATATTTTATTAAGATTATGTTCTTAACACTTTATTACCTTCAACAATCTTAAAAAATAGTTTGCAACTTCCTTTTAAAAACCTAAACATGGTTTTGAATCAATCCACTACTGGCTAATTTTCTTCACAGCATGAGAAAGCAGTCAACAAAAGTTACTTATTCTGAGACAAGGTGCCTAAAATCCAACTCACATCTAAACTGCTATAGCCTTTTAAACTAAATTCTCATACAGAAGCCAGATGAAAATGAACTGCACAAGAACAGCTGGAATTAACCACAGTGGATAAAGCATACAGAAATTGTCTAATGAATTCTTCTACCACCAATACTATTTGGAAGTAGGCCCCATTGAAATCAATTAGGATAATAATTCAGATCTGAGTTTTCTTCTTCTTTTTTTTAAAAAATCCCTACCGCACAGCTTTAACAATTATTGTGTGCATAGACAAATTTCAAGAAATCCTATCTGTACTTTAAAAAAGATCAAAACACTAAAAGAAAGCAATTACTTAGGAGAAGAAAACATATATAAATATGAGTGATTTTTTGTCAGTTGAATACAGTTTCATATTGAGTTGAGGACTTTCAATTTAGGGGAAAAAACCTTTATGTTACAAGCTATAATTTTATTTGGATCACTGACAACATTTGCTTTTTCAAATAGTGAAAAGCTGGATCCCAAAATGCTGGTTGATCTAGAGGAACAGATGATAATAGATTCCATTTTTATACCTTAATAGTAACCAAATTTATGCACTGCTTTTAGTGGGACTTGCATCCATTTAATACTGCACACAATTGGCCTGAGTTTAAAAATACAGTGTATCATATAAACTAGATGGGGTTTCATTTATGCTTCTGTAGCTTTTGTATTACAGAAGCATCCTTTAAATTCCTTCATAGCTGACCCAACCAGTTTCTGAAACAAATGTACCATATGCAGTGAACACACCACATCTGGTAAAATGCTATACGAGTCATGACTATCACAGCAAGAGCCCTAGACCACCTGCTAGTGTTAACCATTTCTTCTACCTGTAAGAGTTTCATAAAGTAAACACACACCACTCGGCAAATAATTCTATAAAGAAAAATATAAAACATACTCTGGAATAATCAAGTTCCCTGGGTGCAGAATCGGACAAAGCTCGTACAAGAGCATTTATCATGCTGACTGGAGGGGAAGGTGGTGACGGCTGGGACGGTTCTTGCTGTAAAGGACTCTTTGGTTTTGAAGGCAGCCGACCTCTTCTTCCTTTCAGACTGTCAGTACGGACAACTGATCAAGGAAAACAGACAGAGAGACACCAACACAATCAGTCTTCAAAGACACCGTAACAAATTTCTACAAGACACATGTGAACACTAAAGGGGCAATTTTTGAATAATGCAAAGCAAATGAGGTCAGACAGGACAACTTGTCTTCCGACACAGGCATAATACTATGATATTACTAGCAATTTTAATTTCATTTCAAAAATACAATATTCATTTAAAAAAAAATTAAATGGTATTCATTGGAATACCATCCTGCCCATGTTGCATTAACAATGTACTATATTTTTATATAAGTATGAATGTATGTATATATACATTTGGATGAGAGTCTTGTTTAATTAAGTGGCATATATCTCGTTTTCATTGTGTACTCTGCTAAAACCAACATCTTTAACCTATAGTTGGCACTTGACCTAAAATAGATATGCATATATAAAAATGCAAATTAATATTAACAAATGCATCCTGTAGCAATGCCAAACATGAACAAGATGTCAACTGAATTTTCATCTTTCTTGAGCTATTATAAAACAACTCCGTATTATTGATTTTAGATAGATTACAGTGAGAATGCAGTTCAATAGTTTAATTATAATTTGGTTTCAAAATTATTAATCAATTATATTTGAATATAATTTATATAATGAAACATTTAATATGTATGCTTCATCTAAGATACTGGAACCATGATATAATCTCAAATGCTTCATCTAAGATATTGAAGAAAATTTAAGACAGTTTACAATTTAAGTGTAATTAATAACAACAGTAAAAAGAACAATACTGATAATGATAACAGCTTTTACTCATTGTTAGAACAAAGACATATTTCTTTTGCTATTCATTCGTACAGCAAAACAGCTTGAAAAATAGATCTAAAAATAAAAACCTAAAAAACCTAGCCGTAGCTTCAACTCAGACTTTTGTGATTAAAATTTGACCTCACTCATCCAAACAGGCTCCACCAATTAATCAACTAAACTTTAATTTCATGGATCTGTCCACTAGATAGACAAAACTCTACATCTCTAACAACCACGAAAATAATTGTTTATTTTTATAGTACCAAAAAGGGGCTTGCTACTTTTGCAATATTTACGTGCGGTGCAATGCAGTTATCTTCTTTAAGACAGAATACTTGAAACAAACACGGTGTGAAGCAAACATTGTGTTTGACGGCAAGGACAGTAAAAGTAGATTACAGTCACTATAAAAAGCCTTATTTCAATAAATTCTGCATTCAGATCTTGAAGAATCTATTTGTCATGTGTAATAATGGGATCCTACACGTGCTGTAAAGCTCCTATTATATTATAGAGCATGTAAGAACAACATCATTCTCTGTTATTTCCAAAATTCTTCATTAAACAGCCATGATTTTCTAACACAAGCCAATTTGTAGGCTGATCTGTGGGCTAAGCATAGTAAACTCTTTACCTTCCTTTACCATGCCGACACTGAGACACTTCTGAAATCGGCAGTATTGACATCTGTTTCGACGACGCTTATCCACTGGGCAGTTTTTATTAGCCAAGCAAACATATTTTGCATTTTTCTGAACTGTCCTCTATGAAAACACAATTGAAGAAAGAGTCAGCTGAATGAGCTGGAATCTGACAAGTTGCATTTTAATTACAATGTAAAAAGCAACAGTGCAATTCGTATAATTAGATAAAATTAATTTCCTAACACATTAGCCTCCAGGAAAAACAATTTTATTAGTGTTAGCTACTGACAATGAAAATTATCGAGGATGGTTCAGAAGCTAGGCTCAGGAGACAGCCAACTGTTAAATGATAAAATCATATCTGAAATTACCAGGTCATCGCGTCATACCTTTGGGGATTAGATTAACTTCACTTCTAATTTTCCTGTGGGAATAATCTTCTACTTGCCTCATTGTCCTGATTATTACTGACCTTATTCAAATAAAATCAAAATTATCTGAAGATTGATTTTTCTCATTGTCTATTGTTGCATATCAGGCTAGTTTAATTCATCATTATAGTTCACAAAGAGGAAACAAAATATTGAGATAACAAGGATACAAGTTAAATTGGACAAGATACATAATTATTTTGTGCAGTATGTTTTGTTATAGTCACAGTTGTACAATATGATAGAGGAGGATGGAATAGGAAGCATGGTCCACAAACTTAGGCATGTTTTATTCCAGTGGATTTTAGAGTCAGACTCAGGTCTCCCTCTGAGATCTGTAAATTTAGAGGTGATTCACCATGGATGGATTGTGCTCAGTTGTCTCCTCCCCACTTTTAACATTTAAAGATTTATGTAATATTTGTCATGCAGTTATTTTGAAACCTAATTTAGCAATCTGGATTTTTAAAATGTTAGTGAAATAGATACTGTCAGGTATTCACATATTTAAAAAAACTATTTGCAAAAAAATTTAGATAAGCAAACACTTCCAATATTTGAAGCTTACTTGTGACAAAGCATACAAAAGCCACCTCTACATGAGTTTCAGTATGCATTTTAAATCCCTCATTGTGAATTACTATGCTATATAATGCAGAATGTATCACAGATTTGACAAGTCTTTCTTTATCACAAGGTTTCATCCATATATAAATTTCTCAACACTAAAGAACAGCTTCTGGATCTAGTGTTAAAAAAAACTACCCTGTTTTCCCGAAAATAAGACCTAGTTAAGTGAAACCCCGCCCTCCATCACTGTGCAGCAACCAGAAGATGATATGACTGTATTTTGAAAAATGTAGATTGTTGTATATGAAAAAAAAAAATAAAACATCCCCTGAAAATAAGCCCCACTGCATTTTCTGGAGCAAAAATTAATATAAGACCCTGTCTTGTTTTCGGGGAAACACGGTAAATGTTTTAATATCATTAAACCATATATATATGCTTCATATGTATAATCATAAGTGAGGGTCATAATTACAGGATACATTTCCAGCCTTGCTTCTATTAATTATAAGAGAAAAACAGTCATTCCCTTCAGTGAAAGTAGAATCTAGCCTTTGAAGCTCAAGCTATGGGGAAGTTGTCCTCCCCAAGCATTATTAAAATGAAGGGAAAGAAGCTTATGGTAGTATATATATATCTTATGTGTTCCATTAAAATGGAAGGAAGCTTATAGGGATCCCTTTCATTTTAGTCAGACACACAGGAACTTCCTAATAGATTTGTGCCCCTTGATTTTTAAAGAGAAACCTAAGTATGAACATATAGGGATGGATGAATCTGTTAGTTTCGTTGTTATCTATTTTTAGTTTTCTCATTTTTAAATTCATTCTGTCAGATTCCAACATTTGTTTGCAATTCTAAGTTTTCAGATAAATATGTATGATTTCTCAGGCTCAGTTCTACTATAGTATTTTGGGATACATTTTTCCTAGTGTATACATTTTTACAACCATTTCTCAAATATCACACTTTTAATGTTACTTCCATTAACAGGTGTGTGCTCTTTTCAAATTTGCACATTTTTATATATGAATTTTTGGTCAAAGAACAGTATCACAAAATTTGGTAAATCCATGGTGAAAACTGAGTGACTACTTGGTACAGTATTTGTTGGGAAAATATGAACTAAGTAAGCTTGCATTACAATGCAAATTGATTGAATTTCTCCCTTATTTGCTAGTCTAACAAAAGCAATCTTGCTGTCATATACTAATCATACAGCTTGTAAAAATAATAAACCAACATGCCTTTGAAAAAGATGTACAGGAACAATTCATATATTATCAGCTGTTACTTTTTTAGCATATAGTATAGCACATCTGAAGTGCTCAAAATACTTCACATATATTATCTTAGCAACTGTCGCAATAGTCGGATATGATATTTCATCTACATACTGAGTGTGAGGGTAGCTTGTTCAAGTGGCTTAAGGCCATTTACTTTATAGAATGTTAAGAACATGAACATTATCATACATGAATTTTAAATACATATGCATATTTCCCTATGTTAAAGATGTTTGGCACATTATTAGTGAAGCTGCCTGTCAGAGAACAAATTCCGGACCACTGGACTTGATGAAAAATCATCTATTGGGTAGGCGAGGTGCAGAGAGACGTCTCTAGTACTACATAGCACAATTCTATGGTTGTCTGCTTAAAAGTAAGTACCACTGAGTTCAGTGAAGCAAGTAGTCCCAAGTAACTGGGTATAGGGTTATACGCATCTTCACAATTAACAGTTTTACAGTGGAATAAACTTTCAAAGTTTGCAGCTCATTCCATAAAATGCAAGGTTGCTAAAGAAATGTTAGGCAGTCTTAAGTTCCCACATCACTTAGTAGTTATTATAATAACAATAATCTGCTATCAAGGCAATTCTGACTAATAGTGATCCTTTCAGGGTTTTCTAGGTATAGAGTACTCAGAAGAGATTTATCAATATATACTTCTACGGACACTTGGGGGAGAGGGGGGTCTGTGTCATGACCCAGACTGCACAATATGGCTCTTCCCCAGGAGGCACAGTGGGGAATTGACTGCCAACCTCTGCCTCTGCAGCCAGATACTAAACTCACTTGAGCTATCCAGGCAGCTGGTACTTAATATAATGGACCAAAATTTACTGACTTCTCAACAGCATTCCTTTGAGAAATTATACTTGTTTTACTTAATACCTTATTCCCTTGTGCTAATAGACCAAAGTTTACCCTTTTGTGTCTATCAGGTTTAGAGGCTGCTAAGTTTAATTTTATACCTGATTTTAGAAATACTTGTAAGTAACACTCCTCTGTTTACAAAAGAAAAAAAGTATTTGTTTCTCAAGGAGCTGCCGAGAGGTGTAGCTGGTCAGATCTATAGCTGAGGTGTATCATGATTGACTGCATATGAAATGCATAAAAACTGGTAGTAATCCCCACCTGGGATTTTCTTCTGTGTAAACCTTTATATAGTGGAACTATTTATGTTATTATTCAAAAATATTAGGCACAGTTAATTAAAACAGTAAAAACATTGACTGATATTATATAACAGATACAAGTTTTAATCAAAAACCTAAGTATCTGTTAAATAGCAACAGAATATGTATACTGCTTGTAACATTGCCATTTTTTGTAGCTTCGATTGTGTTATTTCTGAAATCTGCAACTGTTTATAATACTGTGTGAAATTCCATGGTATTGTTTCCAAAGGCCTGATGGCGATGGGGACCACTGAAGCGTCTCTCATCCACGAGCAATGATGATGATTATGATGATATTAAAAATTCCAGGCACAGTCAAAATGATAAAAACATTGACTGATATTATATAACAGATACAAGTTTCAATTATTCTTATTCTTATTACTATTATTATGCTTTGGGACCACATTCCTCTACAGTAATAGTCTAATAATAGTCTAATTCAACATCTGAAACAAAACCAAACAGGTTTATAGCACCTTTAAAAAGAACAGATATATTTCAGTCTGAGTTTTTGTAATTATAGTCCATGTCTTTTTATGGATTTTAATCCATGAAAGCTCACACTGAAATATGCTACCAGTTTATTATTGTGATTATACATCTGCAAGCCATTTATTTAATCCTGGCTGAGTTGCTCTGTTTAGAGTGTCACATTCATGTGATTGTTGCAAGATACAAAGTGATAAACCCATCTATTCTACTTTTAAGGTCCTTGGAATAGAAATGTTGCAAATAAAATTAATTTGGATAATAATGGTGTCAGTAGACACATTATAAAAAATAACAGTTGAAGATGGTCTCCAAATTACAGAGAAGGAAATTAAATTTAGTTGTTACATTCATATTTTTGTTATTCTTTCCTCTCTCTTCTTGACTCCTCTACTGCCAACGTGTCCATTGTATACTATACTTCTTGGGGCAGGGACTTAGTTTTTTTTTGCTTTACCTAAGGCAACATGATTGCCGAAGGTGCCATGTAAAGAACAAAGTAACAGAAAATAATGGTAGTTCTCTGGTAAGTGTTATCACTAACTTCCAATGCTCATAAGAAATATGCTGAACCTCCTATTGAAAAATATGAGAACACTATCACAATCACTTGAATCCTTTCAGAAATGAACTACCATAGAGTTGCTGGGAAATGTTATCAATGGGAGTGTGCAAAATGGATACTGTAAAACTTGCTATTTTTTTTTAATCCTTAATGGTCAATTAAAGGTATCACCTGCTCCTGCATCTATTAGTTGTGATTAATTATCATAGGCATCCTTCAGTCTCGAGAGACTAGGGTAGCATGCTCTGAATCGAGGAGTGTAATATGGAGGATAGGCTGTTACCCAAGCAGCAGATCCCCCCTCTCCACATTGCTGAAATGGTCCAATGGAAAGGCAAGAGCCAATACAACTGGTTCCAGCAAGGTCGCAGGAGTTGGCAGAACGACACGAACTGCCTTCGGGACTCCAGTTCCAGATTTTGCCTCTTTGTGATTAATAAAGCCCACTGAAAGCAACCAATTTGTCCTATGAACTTCATATGAGCATGCAATTCAAGTCCATCTATATCTTGTTGTTTTCAATGGTATCTACTCCCCAAGACCTCTTATTGGTCATTAAGCCCACCTGAACACAATAGAACTTATTTCTGAGTAAACACATTATATGGTTAGACATGATTAACTGGATCCTGGCACAGAATCAGTGGGAGAAACAATTGTGCCACATATGGATGGATGAGCCTGTTGGTTGTCCTTACCTTAAAAAAGCCCTTGCAGCCCTCACATGTTCGCACCCCATAGTGCTGGCAGGCAGCATTGTCCCCACACACAGCGCAAGTGCCTTCACCGGATGAAGAACTTCTGCTGTGTGGAGAGGGGAGGCCACTGCTGCCGCTGCTGCTCTCACCCAGAAGACTGGAGGTGGCTGCATTGAGGCCCAGTGGTGAAAAGGTTAAGGTGGCTGTCCGCTTGGACAATGGAAGCCCATATGGGTGGCTTTCCATAGCAGCTTGGCTAGCAGGGGGTCTCTCCGACCCAATAGGTAAGTTCAAGGATGTGGTATCATAGCACATGTGGGCACTGCCAGTGGGAGTGTGAGGTGGTGAATGCTTAAAATGAAAGAGTGGAAAGCGACCAGACACAGTTTTCATAGGGGCAGTGTCCATCAGATGGCTGGGGGCCATGCAAGTCTGTGCTGGTGGAAGGGGTGGTGGTGGTGGTTCATCCCAGGGGGCCTGGTGGGGTGGAAACCCAGGGGTGGTAGGTGTGGAAGGTGGGGACTGCTTGAAGTACATGGAAGCGTTGGCCATGCTTTCTTCTGTAGGAGGCGGCAATGAAGGATGGTAGCCATGCATCCGATTGTCTTCCATTTTGATGAGGGGCCTCTGGCTTGCAGAGGAGGAAGATGAGGAAGATGAGGAGGCAGGCTGCATTTGGTATAGGCAGGAAGGTTTGAGCTCATAGCCCCCAGCATAGCCCTCCATAAAAGTGCTGAAGCTAGGCAGAGAGGTGGTAGCTGTGGCACTGATCTCAGCACTGGTTAGCTCCATGGTCAGCTTCGTGTAATCAGGGTTCATAATCTCAGGATTGTATTCAGAGCCATAGGCGAAGGTCTGGGCTGCATAACTTGAGCCAGGAGGCGAAGGGCTGTACTGGGCTTGCACACAGGGCATATCTGCAAGAGCAAAGGTAAGGATCTATTAAAAATGGCTGCACTTCTAGTTCACCAATAGTCATTTCTTGTAGCCATCTTTTGCAAGTTGTTGCATTTCACAGAAACAAGGAAGGCACATGTTTCCTCCATTGTATCTTGGAGATGCTTTAAAATGTGACAAATTTGCTACTCAAACTATTTCAATGTAGCGAAGAGTATGCTAATCATATACAGATGATGATATATCATGTATACATCCAGTGAAAGACGTGTGCAATTCGTTCATATGCTTACTGTGACATTGAAGAGCTTTCTGCATAATTAGACATTGCTTATATTTGTGGCAAATACTGGAAAGAATGTGAGAACTCCATACCTCTCAATAAACAAGGGCCCTTTGTCCACTTTCAGTTAAACAGGACAAAGTCAACAACATTATTCAAGAGTTGTACTACTATATAACAAGTAGAATTCATACCCTCTCCCTGGATGTGTTATTGAGTTTCCATTCAATGTATAGAAAAGTCAGTGAATCTTAAAGACCACAAAAAAAGAATAGTTTATAACTTCAGAATGTGTGCTGTTATGTCATAACACAATGATGGGGAGGTGTGGGAAATTATTTCAGACGTTACAAAAGAAAGAAAGAAAAGAAATGAAAAGTTTTGTTGGCTATGGTATACCTTGAAGGAGGAACCAAAATGCATTTACCCAACACTAGAGGTACATTTTGTTACTAGTGAATCTATACGGTCTATTTCTGATCTTATAATTTGGCACTTGTGCTTATTAGAGTAAGTTGGACTTAACCATAAGAGTTAAGTTTATCTTGTTACCTGTAGCAGCAGAATGATTGAACTGTCCTGCAAATACTAATATGAAATCCTTACTAGCAAAAATAGAGTATACATTATTTTTCTTTTCTCTTCTTTTCCTTGATTACTGTAATGCAACTGAAACTTCTTGCTTTAAAAAAATCTAAAGGCAATGGCTAATTTTGGTTTCAATTTCTGGGGAATAACATATGTCTTTTAACATTGCAAAACAGGTATAAATGTATATTTATTATATATTGCAGAACATTTGGGGCAAACTTTTCTGTGCTGTTATTATTTTTTAAAATAAAACATTCCCATAAAAGCCTCATAAAATTTAAATGTTAACTCTTATTTTGCTTCAATGGTTTTTTTTTCAGTCTTCAGTCTTGTTTCAGATGAACATGAAGACTACAGGAAAGAACAGCCTCAATGTTTAATTTTCAATTGATAGAAATGTTAGTGGTTTTGCTGCATTCTCCTTGCCAAGTTTTTTAAATGATAAATGCCTTTTCTAATTCTTTGACAAGACAAACTCTTGTAAAAATATTATCTCTTCCTTCTAACATGGAAAAATATTAGAGAGGAGAATTGCAATGAGTGGTTTTCTGAGCAATGTTCATCAACCACATGGGACACATATTGGTTAGAAAAGAAACCTCCCCACCACCCACTTCCAGCAACAATTCAGGGAGAAGTGTGTTTTAACAAGAAATTAAATGTCACTGTTTGACATTTGGACAGAGAAACTGATCTGGGATCAGGGTTTTCTCACTGGCCTTAAAAAAGGAACTTGAATCCTGAGGAGTTTCCCCCCCCCCCACCGCCTTCTCTCTTTTCTTTTCTCCCTAGGAAAAGCAATTCTTAGTATCAGAGGATTTTCAAGAAAACAAGGATCTTCTTTTCTCTACCGTCTCTGCCAAGCAGTTCAGACCAGTCATGGATTCAGAGTCTTGTCCTTTCAAATGCTCTGCCAGGGAGCATAAGTGGAAAGGGGAAAGTGGCTGCTGGCCAGCCCTGGGTGCCCATATGAAAGCATTTTTACCTGGAGGGTGGCTTGCTTGCTGAATGGTGGGGGTGGCTTGCTGGACAATGGCTGAGGCTGCTGGGAGAGGTGGGGCAAGCGATGGGTGCTGCGTCGGTGATCCCTCCTCGGTGGGGGCAGGGGTGGAGCCGGGGCTCACGACAGAGGGCTCTTCCGACCTGGGCTCTAATACAAAGAGAGGAAAAGTTGGATGGTGGAGTGAAGAGAAAGGGGTCTGGAGAGGGCATGAATCCACCACTCCTGAGCCCGTCTGCACTTTTCCAGAGTCCTGTACCAGACTCCTTTGTCCAGATCCTAAACACTCACACTTACAGAGTCAACAGAATCACACAAATCAACAGAGTCACGGAAAGAGGGCATGGGGGCCTGCCCCAACCTCTCAGGGGCACTCCTTGAAAGCTTAAAACTCTGACAGAGGTGGGGAGAGTAGACATCTATCCTTTCACTTTTGAAGATAAGAAGGAAAAACGTGGCAAGACTAGCCCCAGACATTTTGCTGCCAGAGGCATAAGAGCACCCCTTCATACACACACACACTCTCTCACACGCACACCAGTTTCATAATACTCAAGTAGCTTAAAGTTAGTTTGGGTTCAACATACAACCTCAATTGCTTGAACACTTCTCATAGACAGTTAAAAGAAGAAAACTAAAAATCAGATTTAGAGACCATTTTGACTCCTTGCTCTGAAGCTCTTTTTTTATCGTCTTTGTTTAACTTACCAAGATGTAAAAGTTACAATCAATTTAGTGCTACCAGGCCCACATTTGTCAAAAAAAGTTTTATATTACTGTGTAAGATAATGAAAACTTAAGAGATTGCCTATATTCACATTCTGGCTGTTCTTCATTAATCTCCCAGTTCCACCAACATTCCTGGGCCTGCAAGTGAATAATTTTGTCTGAAATTAAAGAACCAAGTGTCTCCTCTCCATACCCTGAAATACCTGATTCAATCCTGACTTAAAGAGATGTTCAGGTGCCTAAACCTGGATTACACATTTCTAAAGGTTGGAAGGCTTTCCCCCTCTGACAGTCACGTTCAAGTCCAGCCTAGGGACCAAGCGCAGGAGGATGAAACAAAGGGTCAGAAGACCTTTAGGCAGGCTGCTGCTTAAAGAATTTAGTCATCTCCTCTGGAGAAAAAACTGTTCCACTCTCCCCTGCCTCGCTGAGAACGGTGCGCTCCGACCTCCGAGAGCGGCGATCTACAGTATTAGAGTGAAGGACTCAGTTTCCCCAAGCTCGCGGTGCGATGCCATAAAGCCACACTCCTTCCCACCCCTGCCCTTGGAGATGTTTGGCCTGAAATGCTGTTCACCGGCTCTCAAGTGAAGAGTTTACCTCCCATCACTCACCCGTAACTCCCACACAACAGCGCTGGTTAAGAAGAGGGTTTCTTTGATTTAGTGAGCCCGATTCGCCCGTCTTTTCCCACCAGATTTCAACGCACCTCCACCTGGCGGCAAAGAACTTCTACTTGTTTCAGACAAGCTGCATCTTCCCTCCTGATTATCTCCGTCCTAGAGAGTGGGCGGGATGGATGGCCTCTATTTCACCCCACCAAACACAACTTTCCCTTTTAGACTTTCTAAACGTTAGGAATTCACCCTTGACAAGGAGCGAGTGGCCTCCATGTCGTGAAGCGCGGCTCTCATTTTAGTGGCGAATGGCTAGAGCAGGTAGTCGTTCTTAGGAAGTTCGCTTTCAACCTACCCTCTCAGGGCCGCGGCTTCCTGTCCCGCAACACGTTGTGCAAGAGATTGCCTATCATCCCGAATGCCCTCCTCTTCCTCTCTTTATAGCGCCCGCTCTCTTTCCCTGCCCTCTTTCCCTTCAAACTGCCGCAAGTGACCTGAAAACGTTCTCTCCTCCCTGACACACGCACCGTTTCCTGGCTTAAGGTCCAGAAGCTCATTTTCCCTGCAGGTGATTTTACATTCAGGGATGTCCCCGCAACGTATTTCGCTCATTATCGAGGGAGGCGACTCTTTCTTTGCCCTCCTTTCCCCTCGACCACTAGCGATCGCGTCTCCTACCCGCCCGGTGTTCGTGACTCCAGGGGCCATTCAAAGGATACTAGGAGGGCCAGCAATCTTCGAGAAGAAGCGCATCCCACGTGTGTCTCCCAAATCCCCACAAGTCCTAATAACAGGACCAGAGGCGGATAAGTCAGGATAACAGAAAAAGAAAGCTAATATCAACCTGCAAGAGGAAGACAAAAAGTCTCAGAAGTTTGGTGGGGAGGGGGCGCCACCATTTACGAGGGAGGACCAAGGTAAAGGGAATTAGCTTCCTTTCTAAAATTCTTACAAAGAGTAAAAATGCTGAGAAAATCAGGAGCTGTTCCAGCATGGCGTTATTTCAATAAATGGTCCTAAGTAATATGTATATATCTTCTGGGACATTTAGAAGGTGTTTTAAATCAGAGGCGCGAAGTTCAAATGATGGTTGAGGAGACCCTTCGCGTCTAATCCAGGAATACATTTCACATTTAGGACCACACCGTTTAGGTTTACAGACAATGTTCTTTTTAAAGTTTCAACATACAGTATAGGTATAACCTCGAAAAGAGGTACAGGCTCCTAATAAATCCACTCACAAAGACCCGAACAACTTTTAACTCGAAATCAATTTGCTTCCACCGTCCTTTCTTAAAACGAATGACAGGCTGCTTATGCTCCCGGTTACTTTGTAAGTTAAAAAAAGGGTATTGCTTGAGAGCTTTCAGGGCTCAGCCAAATGAAGACCGGCCGTGGAACTGAACCCGCGAGACAACTCAGCGGGTGCCCAAACGCGAAATCCATCCGGAGGCTGAGTAGCTCTGCTCCTTCCTCGCATCGCCTACCCCATATCCTAACCAAAATCAACCTAGATAAGCAAAGAACTCCGAAACTGTCTCCGCGAGGCGAGCGAAAAAGTTTTGCCTCTTGTCTCGGCGGGGCAAGGAAGCCGCGCGGCGGCCCCACGCCTCTCTCTCTCTCTGCTCGCCGCCTCCCACGTGCGAGTTAGCGGGGCGCTCGCCGCGGAAAGGGGCCACGGAGGAGCCGAGCGCAGCCCGTTCACCTTCGGATCTCCCCGTCCCTTTTGCGAACAAGCCGCCTCTCCGCCGGCTTCCTTCCCCAAACTGCCCGGTAGCTTTCATTCCTTCCTGTCCTCCCAAATCTCGCTCGGTTTTGTGGTCGGAGCAGCAGCAGCAGCAACCACGGCACCGCGGAGGGCCCCACCAAAGCATATCGTATTCTGAGTGGAAGCTCAGCGCCGGCAGCCCCAGCCGCGGACAAATTGCTGCCATTCATCAAGCCCGCGAGGGCAAGCCCGCGAGCATCATCCCCATGACAACTGCAAGCGGTGGGGAAGCGAGCGATGCCGGCCGAGAGCGAGCGAGCGAGCGAGCGAGGGGCACCGCCTCTCCTCCCCTCGAGGCTGCCCACAAACCCCCACACACCCCGCACGCCGGCGCTCCAAGCCGCAGGCTCCGTGGAGACCCCCCCCGCTTCTCCAAGCCCCCTTCCCCACGCCAAGGCCGAGCGCTTCGTTCCCGGCCCCCGTTTCGCCTTGGCAGAAAGTGACCCAAACTTTGTGCAAGTCTCTTTCCCCTCCGCTTCCCTCGCGCCGGGCGGCGGCATCACTTCATTCATCATCTCTATACCTACTCGGCTGCTGTAGCGGTTCCGTCTTTACATGTAGTTTGTCAAACGCTTGATTTCCCTCAAAACGGCAGCAGGCGGGCGCAGACCTGAGGCGCAGCTGAGGCGAAAGCCCAAGGCTCCGGAGAAGCTTCAGTCCTGGGGGATGCTCCGTCCTGAGGCATTGGAGGGACGCGAGGAGGAGGAGGAAAAAGAGCACGCGGGGTAGCCGGCGTGGAGAGCGGCCGCAGCTCCCGCTCGTCGCTGCCGCCGCAAGAGCCGGGACTGAGCGAGGCGCCCAAGACGACGCAATGTGCCTTTGTTTATATATGCCGGCCGGCTGCGGAGCGCTCCCCGCCTGTCCCTGTGTGTGGTAACTGAGGGAGCAGGAGGAAGGAGGCTCCGAAGTGCGCGCCTGCTCTCCCACTCCCTCCTCGCCGCACGTCATTTATGCGAGAGGAGCCCTAGCGGCCTCTTCATACAGCGGCTGGAATGCGAGACGTCAATCGTGACGCCATGGGAGCCTGACGCGGCTGACCCCCCGCCCCCTGCCCGCCCCTTCGGGTGTCTGGGTTTCTGACAGGGAGTGTGTGTGTGTATGTGCGCGCGCGCGTGAGTAAGTGAGCGCGCGCGCGCATGCATTGCATGCATGCATGTGTGACACTCCAGAAGCTCCAGTACAGTACTGTACTTACTTACACAAGGACAGGCGAGCCCTCGGCAATCACCCAGCAAAACCCTCCGGCAAAATAGCCACCTCACGTGATTAATGAGGAAAACCCAGAAGAAGGTGGAGAGGCCGCTTTCAAGCGCCGCGTAACAGCGGCTTGCCTTTGGAGCGCGGCCGTGGAACCAGGAGGCTCGCTGCAGGCCGCTGGGTCGCTTCCGTGTTCCAGTTGCTTGGTGGGTCTTTGGTGGCAAACGCGGGCTTAAAAAAACTGGCGCCCAGGAACGTAACAACAAGCGCAAAGGGTCCCTTTTGATTGCCGGCCGAGCTTGCTCGCCTTTTGGACAGCACTCCTGCGGCTCACTGGTAGAAACTTTTCGTTTGTAATAATCACTGAGCTCAGAATGCCCGAGCTTCCGAGTCTTTCCAAGGTGAATTCACCGACTTGTTCACTGTGGTTTTGTCTTTCCTTGTGATTTTGAAAACAATAAATAAAGAAGTCGTGTTTCTTTCGCCTCCCTCCTGGTAACAGTAACTTAAGAGCGAAGCCGACAAGACTGTTGGAATTATCAAGAGCTATACAGATATGACTAGAAAGCGCTGCAGACCTGGAAGCTACTTTTCACACATATCCCTTCTGGGAAGAGGCTAGTTAGTTACACTTCCCAGTTTGCTCATCTCGAGTGAATTCCTGCCTTTCAGGTTAGTGGTGCAGCAGCGTAGAGAACCTTTTGTAATCCCGGAAGACCGTCGAGAGCAGCACGGTGGCCCCATGAAGCACCGTTTAACGTTATGTGGGTGGGTGCTCTTTCACAGGCCGGCGAGGCGAATTGCTGAGTCAACACAGTAACTTCAGTATTGTGGGAGATAATTTTTCTGAGTATGAAGGGAACGAAGCGCTGAAAAAAAAACATTGGTGTTCGGGCTGCAATCCTGTGCGTTTCTGTATAGCGTAAGTTTTATTAATATTGTGAGGGGGGCATTTCCAAAGTAATGTTGCGTAGGGTGGGGCTGGATATATGTATGTATGTTTGTATTACACAGGCATATTTGTTAGAGAGCAATGCAGTGAAGCTCAGGGAACGTATATTCAGGGTTATCTTCCTTTTGCACCTGCGCATCTCATATAGAATCAGCCCAGACGTCTATAAACTGGAGTCCCTATATTCCAACCCGCCAAAAAAAAACAATAGCTTTTACTATTGTTTTACACCGAGGGAGCCCCCTTTCAGAACCAATCGGAGCGGGGACGTCACCGTGGAACGCCGACCCTCGTGACACTTCGGCCAATCCGAGCGACGGACGCGGCAGGATCTTTTCCAAGCGGGGCGGGGACAAGGAAGGCTTGACGCAAGGAAAGCGCGTGATTGACGCAAGCGGTGTTGCTAAATTTAGCCCCCATGGACCTTTTTGCGGGTGACGGAGGCGGCGGCGCGCGAGGCGCGGCCTGAGGAGCGCTTTGAGTGGCTGGCTGGGGCTAGACTGGGGTGGGCGCCAGAGCGCGTGCTCGCCCTCGCGGTTCCTCTCCCTCGCGCGCAAAGGAAGCTATTTCGGGAGCGGAGCGGGGCCGGACGAGCCTAATATAGCGCGAGCTGAAGATATTTATAGTTACTGCATATCCGCCGGTGGTGCCACGCGCCTCCTTTTGCCTTCTGGGGCGGAGGAGAGAGAGAGAGAGAGGAAGAGAAGGGTTAAGTCGGCACCGTATCACTCCAGTTTATTATCTGAAATACTTCTCTGTTCATAACAGATTTCCGAGTCAACATTTTGTGTGCTGTTGCTTGACATGTGATGGCCCCTGTGTTCTCACCGGGCTTTGTCGCTGAAGAAGATTTAACATCCAGTTATGGTTTGGCTTATACAAGAGAAAAACAAACTTAATCATGATACCCCTGGTGGGGTGGGGCGGGGACTCCAACTCGTGCCGCTCTTCGCCCGGAGGGGGCCGCTGCCCTCTCACTTAACAGGCGCAGGTCGGCCCTCTCGTGGGGGGAAAGGCATCTCTTGCCGGGCAAACCGTGCCAGCCGGCCAACCTGCCTGCCTGCCTTTATGCTGAAGTGATGAATAATATCCCTTCGTAAAATATCCCTTCCGTTGGCACGGAACTGCTGTAGTCTCAAAAAAAGGGGAGGCACCTGTTGGGAACAAGTGTAGACCAGAGTCCGAAGTGCTACTAGCTTGGCAGTCTCCACAGCCAAGGAAGTAACTTGGACTGCAACTGCACTGGCAAGCCAAGTCGAAGTGATTCAGCTTTGCTGTACTGTAGATTGGTTCACAGCCTGTTTTAAGCTTCTGTTCTGAAATATTCTCAAGTCAAGACCCCACTGTAGATTGGTTCGCAGCCTGTTTTAAGCTTCTATTCTGAATAGGGGGGGTCATATGGAGACTGTGGATTGTTTTGGTGCCAGGGTCCCCACTGACTGGCCCAGCAATCTAATGTGGTTTGATCTGTCATCCCATCCTCTGCCATTCCCCAGCTCTCCTCTTATTGTTCTTTGTAAAGCTGCTGGGCGGTTTAAAGAATTGCACAGTGATAGAGAAAAGGGACAGTTTCCCAAACTTCTTCATAACATACATACACCCATGCCACAGAAACGAAGTAGACTGGTGTCGTCCATTATAGACTGTAGTGATTTCTATCTCTTTTTTTTTTGTCAGGGTAGAGATTGATATACTAGTTTAGCTGGTGCTAAACTAGTATATCAGTGTATAATTTGGACCAACTAGGATGAAAGAGTGCAGGGGTGGGTGTTTGCACTTTCTAAAACATCACACCCAGCTTTGTATGTCACCAGAATACCACCCAATATCATGCCCCCTAGGGGCTGCTCACCTAGGGAAAAGATTGTTCAAATTGTTCTTGTCTGGAAAAAGTTGAAGCCACCAGCAAGGATCCCTGTAAGGTGCGTGGCAGCGTTTGTGACTCTGCCTCCCTTTGTTCAGCTTTCCTCCTCCACACAGCCCCTTTGGTTCTGGTCACCACGTAACCCTTTGTGTGTGCAGGGGTCAGAGTCTTGCACGCATGCAAGGGAGAAGTCACACAGAGGCGGAGAGGGTATGTTGGTCGCCAGCAGCAGAGAAACAAAAAAACCCTCCATGTCTGGAGCAAAAAGGGGTGAACTGATTCGCATTGGCTTTTGTGTTGTGTTAAAAAAAATAAAAGAAATACCAAAATGTATCCATTTTACACCTGCAGCAAATCCTGCAGTATTTGACTACGTAGTTGCAGCCTTAGTTGTAGAGCCTTGGGGTTGTTGGCACTCCCTTTTAAAATTCTGTTCTGCACTAACTTTGCAGTTTCCTCCTCTTTCCTGGACTGTAGCTGTTGAACTGGGATGCTCTGGCACACTGAGGGGCAAAAAGGTTTAGTCATGAGTTAATTAGGAGAACAGTTTCAGCTGAAGCGAGGGGAGGGGAAAGAAGTTACTCTTTTCTTCATGAAAGCTCATGGAAATTTGATACCTGATTAGCAGATCTTCTGGAAGAGTCTGGAAACTAGAATTCAGGGTATAAAAAAGGAGAGAGAAGTTACAGTGGAACCTCGACTTACGAACGTCCCTACCTACGAACGTTTCAACTTACGAACGACTCTGCTCGCAAAAATTTGCATTGACTTGCAAGTGGAGCCTCGACCTATGAACGAAAAAAAAGCAGGGGAAAAGGGTGGGAAATTCAAATTTCCCCTGCCTTTTTTTTTATTCCATTCAAACTGTTGATGGCAAAGAGGCTGCTGTTTCATTCAAACTGTTGGTGGCAAAGAGGCTGCTGTTTCGCCCCAAAGGTTAGGAAAAGGACCCCCAGGAGGTATCTGATGGCAGCGGGGGGCCCCAGGGAGGGTGTTTTTTGGTGGCAGCGGGGGGCCCCAGGGAGGGTGTTTTTGGTGCTTTTTGCAGTCCCAGCGTGGGATTTGCAGTGTTTTATTTTTAATATATTTTTTGGTATTTATTTTCTTCCCTTGGAACGTATTAATTGGTTTTCAATGCATTCTTATGGGAAATTGTGCCTTGACCTACGAACTTTTCAACTTGCAAACACCATTCCAATACAGATTAAGTTTGCAAGTCAAGGTACCACTATATTTAGTTTAGCCTAGTTATCTCTTAGGAGAACACTATGCTCATCTGCCACTCTACTACAAGACTTGCACTCCATATATGTTCTGAGGCTATGCCAGGATGTAGATATTAGCATAAGTTAGCTATCTTATTTTCTTTTCGAGTTATTCTGGAATTGTTCTTGCCTCAATGCTTTGATTATGTATTTTGCTCCACACCTTTTCACAATTCTATAACTGCTGAAATTGTTTTGAAATGTTGCTCTTTTTGACTTTCTCACCACTTTTTATAAAATATAAAGTTTTATAGATGTTTGGTTATTTAGGACTAAGAGGGTTAGTGGTACTATACCCAGGCTTACCTCAGCCATCTACTCAGAGCCTAAGTGTTTAGTGAGTATTTTTTGCATTCTTACCTTGCAGGGTTGCCATAAGAATCCAAGAGCTTAATTTTGTGGATTTGTGTTACTCCTTGAAAGCACTGCTTATTCAGCATGGGCAAAGTATTGGGAGGGTACCGGACAAGATTATTGTCCCCTAGCCATCAACACATTTGGCCCTTCTGGATTTCACCCGCACCAGGACAATCAGAGTAGTATGACCTAGTGAATGTTGACAATATGTGTAAATAAAATTCATATCACCAACATATACTTCCCCTGTTTTATTTATTTAAAATATTACTATCCAGCCTTTCTCCCCAAAAGGACCCAAGGTGGCTCATAT